ATGCAAGCTAGGACCATCGCTAGGTGGCATTACCTAACTTAATTCTTTAAAATTTTAAATTTTTGTAATGCACTACATATTTGTGAGAACTTAGCTTTACAAGTTTTACCACAGTATACTATTATGGTTCTACTAATCTATTTCGTTTACTGTTCGGGAAAATAATAATTATTATAAATTTAACATGTACCTAAGGTGCCTATACATACATACTAAATGCTGTATCTGTATTATATATCTTCAGAATACAATCATTGAATTGACATTCATTCCATTTTTTAGGCACTTATATGTAGGCACCTAGATATGTAAGTACATGTTAAATTTATAAAAATTATTAATTTCCCGAAAAGTAAACGAGGTAGGTTGGTGGCACTTCTAAATAAAGTTATCACAAATGTGTTGCAAATTTCAAAAATTTAATGAAAAGTAGGCTATTACATTTAAAAGAATTATGTTAGGTAGCGCCACCTGGAGGTGGCGCATTTAATTTAAGAACTTTCGTTCTCGAGGTATGGCGCTGTCCCATTTCTTGCTGAACACCCTGTATATGTGAGAAAATTAATATGCGTGCACTGAGTCAACTTTTTATTTGCACCTACAGTACACCTAGTGTGACCACTTTGTCCGTCCGTCCGTTCGCCCATTAAAAATAGTGTTTTATTCAATGGCTAAACTTAGTCCACTCATGGTAAGTTTGAAGATCGTTTAGAACCGAGAAAGGCGCACTAGCTTATGTGGAAATTTTCCGAAAGCATTAGTTTCCCTTAATAATAGCATTGTATTTTTCGTTTATAAATACAATGATAATAGTATGAAGGACAATCTGTATTATAAGTCCATTTAATTCAATTTGGGCAATTGGTAATATAACGCATATTTCAATTGTTCCCGAAATTTCTAATTGTTGAATCTGTGTTACTTCTTTTTAAGAATTTTCTAGATAATGACACACTATTTTGGTGTTAGTCACAAATTCCATCCAAATTCAAAAGAATACGGATTCTGTAGTTTTTTTTAGGTTGTTTGGGAATTCAAACGATTGCATTAATAACCAGTGAATTACAAATTTCAACACCTATACTAATAAAAGTGGAATGGTTTTACTTGTTCCGTTCTAATGATATCTTTCAGATGAGAAAGTGATATTTGAGAGTTGTACATCTGAAATTAGAACCGTATAATGATCTAGGACCTATCCAAGACTTTTCATTAACTAACACTGTCAAATATCGAACGAAATAGTAGTAAAATTACTCTGTTTAACCCGCTCCTATAAATAATCATTAGATCGATGTTCCCTACAGATATCCAGCAAGATAATATGCAATTACTTTCATTAGGAAGGAATTTGGAAAACTGCAAGATAGAAATTATGTTGATTACCACCAAAGGCTTTGTAGTGGGCTGAGTTACAAACGTCTATACACTACAAACCACTTTCGTTTATAAGATAATTGATAAGTATGTACATTTCAAGCTACCTATATAATTTCATATAACTAGCTATAATAGTTTGTAACTTCCGAAGAACTGATCTCTTTTCAATGCAATCTTCTCGTCGTATCACAAAAAGGCCACACTGCATAACAGTAATAAATGACCACTACCGTACTGCTGATGACGTTATCGTATTCCAAACTGAAGATAATTATTGTAGATTTCGTATCAGCAAAACCCAGCGCGGTAGGTTGCGGAACGATCGAAACTTATTTATTATTTTTACAGGTACATAGATCAAATCTAAATCTTAGGGAATATAATTAAGACATAAATTAATTGGAGTAAAGACCCTTTCGTCTCGAACACACCCTACTATATCAATCCAAATAGGTGATACCTATAATTAACTTTAAGATATTAAAAACTTTGATTTTGAGATAAGGAAATATTGGCCTTTGCAGCGATTTTCCTACAAGGAGAAATGTACGCCTTATGAAATACGCAATTGCAATTCACATTTTATATTACACATACCTACCCAAAAGGCAAAATTGTTTGTTCCCGACACAATCTCTGGTTTAAATTAACTTAGATTTCGTGAAAAAGCTTAGTATTAACTGATGATTATTTCTTTAATTTCAATGGCATATCATTCTATAAATTGTTAACTTATTTACAGTTAAATAAAATAGGTGTTAATGCGGTCTTTCAGAGGGCGCTCGTAGAAAATTTTTCTCCAGTTTACGTTTACCAACAGGTGGAAGTGTGAGGAGGACTTTTTTCTCTTTTCGAGATGTAACATGTTAGTATCCTAATTAAAAAAAAACTTATCACATCCTCGATCACATCAATAACATAATCTAGGTATCCTATATCAAAATAAAACAAATGAACGTGTACGTTTCTTATTAAACCATGAAAACAAAATGAAATTAGCAATAAAATGCTAAATCAAGACACTACTTCCTACATATACAGATTAACCTCGTTTAAAAATAACTGATATAAGGAAAGGGCCCTTTATTTGCAAGTCCTGGAGAAAGAGATTTTTTTATAATGGATGTGGTTAATTAAAATTTGTGTAGTTAATCCTTTGAACTTTTCGGAAGTTGATCGATAATACTGGGTCTCCCAAACCTTTAATTTAGGTTAACATGGGGATTTTCCCTTTTAGCAGTTGCCGGAAGTGTACGAGGAGAGATTATAAAATTCTATGTTTAGATTTTGATTTGCTTGAGCTACAGTTAGGCAGGTGTTTTGCGGTCATAGTTTAGGTGGTACCCATGGCACGTGTGCAGTTGTACGTCCCCTAAGTTTGGTTGCGGGGATTTGTTAAGTATCTATGGGAGTATTAAAAAAATTTGGTCACAGTCTAAATCATGGTCGTTTGGTTGCCATATTTAAAAATGGCTCCCACGTGGCTAGATTTTTTGTTTAAGTATATATCCTCAGACAATAGTTCAATTTTATTTTTTTAAAGAAAGTTTTAATGATGTTTTTGAAGGCAAACAAGTTTTATAATTAGAAATTATTTGGTAAGCTTATTGATTTTGTTGTAATTACAATATTGTTGTGATTAATTACCCACCTTCTTGGTGGGAATCCATGGTGGTAAAGCTCAAAACGGGGTCAGAAAGTAGACAGTTGAATAGGAATTTAACACACTAAACCTTCCCCATACTTCTTTATTAAAAAATTGTGAATAAAATCACATAGAGACTATAGTTTCGACCTAAGTCATTTTCAAGCTGTAGGAAAATTGTAACTAATAACGAGTAACAATCTTGAAATATACATACCTTAAAATTTAAAACATCAACAACAGAAAATAGGAAATTGAAAGTACAGAAGTTACATTTTATCAGTATGCTGGAAAGAACATGTGTTAACCACTAGTTGAACATAATTAATACTTACAGGAAAAAATTTTTCCAATATAAAACAGTTGGTGTTAGGACATAGAAAAGTGGAACAAAATTAACATAGTCATGATATATCGACGATTAATTAATTAATTCATGCCATTAGAAAATGGACGCAGCCATCTTGTACAAATATAGTCAACGACTTAACTCGAAAGGTAACGAAAGGGAAAGGTTAAAGAAGGAAATAAAAAGCGGGAAATTTAAAAACAACAAGGTTAAACAGGGCCGGATTAGGTAACGGGACGAAGTGAGAAGAAAGGTGAAAGAATGCAACATAGCTTGCATTAGGCTATTGTTATTTAATTATACTAAAAATTTTTGGGCCAAACTACCCTGTGCCTGCTGATGGCAGAAGTCGGGACTCGCGGAAAGATTAGTGTGCCCTCAAGTTAAAAACCCCCAATCTGCTGAAGGCAGAAAAAGGGAAAGGGGGGGGGGAACACCACGTTGACAAGCGTAAAGGGGTAGAGGTTAATTAGTCAAGAATAACAAATGCTTGTTTAAATTTAAAATTTCGTTCAAGGAGTGTTGAGGATTCTCTCTGTAGTGATGGTAAATTTCTTTCATTTCTAGGAAGTCTAGCTTGAGGCTTTTATTACAAACATGAAGAATTTCAAAATCCTCCTTCGAAAACGAATGACCAGAACTCAGGATGTGGTGGGCAAAGGAGCTCGTCTTTTCCGTTCCCTCAACATCTCCATATCCTTCTCAGTCAAGAGTAATCTCAAGTCTACTTTGGTGAAAACTAAAGATCCTATACCTCCCTTATCTAAATCAGGGGTTTATAAATTGGTTTGTCGAGATTGCCCAGCTGGTTATATTGGTCAAACTGGTCGCTCATTCAAAACCCGGTTTTCCGAACACATTTCCGCTATCAAAAACAATAACCTCAAATTCACCCTAACCAAGGTTCTTCCTTTGCCCACCACATCCTGAGTTCTGGTCATTCGTTTTCGAAGGAGGATTTTGAAATTCTTCATGTTTGTAATAAAAGCCTCAAGCTAGACTTCCTAGAAATGAAAGAAATTTACCATCACTACAGAGAGAATCCTCAACACTCCTTGAACGAAATTTTAAATTTAAACAAGCATTTGTTATTCTTGACTAATTAACCTCTACCCCTTTACGCTTGTCAACGTGGTGTTCCCCCCCCCCTTTCCCTTTTTCTGCCTTCAGCAGATTGGGGGTTTTTAACTTGAGGGCACACTAATCTTTCCGCGAGTCCCGACTTCTGCCATCAGCAGGCACAGGGTAGTTTGGCCCAAAAAATTTTAGTATAATTAAATAACAATAGCCTAATGCAAGCTATGTTGCATTCTTTCACCTTTCTTCTCACTTCGTCCCGTTACCTAATCCGGCCCTGTTTAACCTTGTTGTTTTTTAAATTTCCCGCTTTTTATTTCCTTCTTTAACCTTTCCCCTTTCGTTACCTTTCGAGTTAAGTCGTTGACTATATTTGTACAAGATGGCTGCGTCCATTTTCTAATGGCATGAATTAATTAATTAATCGTCGATATATCATGACTATGTTAATTTTGTTCCACTTTTCTATGTCCTAACACCAACTGTTTTATATTGGAAAAATTTTTTTCCTGTAAGTATTAATTATGTTCAACTAGTGGTTAACACATGTTCTTTCCAGCATACTGATAAAAATGTAACTTCTGTACTTTCAATTTCCTATTTTCTGTTGTTGATGTTTTAAATTTTAAGGTATGTATATTTCAAGATTGTTACTCGTTATTAGTTACAATTTTCCTACAGCTTGAAAATGACTTAGGTCGAAACTATAGTCGCTATGTGATTTTATTCACAATTTTTTAATAAAGAAGTATGGGGAAGGTTTAGTGTGTTAAATTCCTATTCAACTGTCTATTAATTACCCAGTAATCTAATTTGTGGCTCTAAGGTGGCGTTCTTCAATTGATAAGATGGCTGGTGGACTTCCCCAAATAAATCTTCCTTGCGCATTATTGAGAAAATCCTAAATTCGGAGGTTTCTACTCTGTGATAATCGATGTAGAAAGCACAATCCGGTAGATAATAATGAAGATAAAAGTAAGTCAGAAGTAAGAAGCCTAAAAATAATTATTCAAAGTCAAAAGGTAAATGCGTATTTCTTAACATACCGAAAAACGGCCTTAGAACTTGTAAAATACATCTGCAAATGCGCCATCGAGATGTCGAAAGCAAAATAACAAGAGAAAACCTCACTAAACTTATACAGCATCAATACCAATCCCAAAAAGGCGGACAAAAATTGTCGAGTAACTGTAATGGCGTGTCTTCTTCTGCAAGTAATGATCGAATCTGGTCTTTGTAAATAGAAGTGCGTGCGCCGAAAGAAATTAAAGAAAACTCTGCACGATCTCCGTCGGAAAAACCAAGAACTATGTGAAAGAAACATATACTTAGATAATAACAAAAAATAACACAATAAAAAAAATTCGAAATTTTTACTAGAAGTAGGGAGGTTCAACCCATGTCTTATGTAAAGCCCATTCCACTGTTATTTAAGCTCTCTAAAATTCAATTAAACATTTCTTCTAATAGGATGATTTGGTTCACTTAAAAGGATACGTTAAAAGGATCTCTCTAGATAATACTGTCTGGAAGTGTGATTATTAATATTGTTTAATGTAAAATGAGGTCTAGTGTAAACAAAACAAAAATGCTAGAAAAAATGAATACTAGTGCGAAATATTTCTGTGGCCACTCGATTAACGTTTTTTAAAGTAAATCATGAATTTGAAATAAATATGAAACCATTACATACACAATGTGAATTATCTTATATAAACATACAATGTACGACACCTGCACAGGTAGAGTAGGGAAGACTATACTAATAACAATGATCGATTTTTATACAGTTGATATGGGTGCAAAATGTTCCTAAACAAAACTAAGTAAGTAACACGATAATAGGACTGTGCAATTAAATATAAAGAATTGCAGTAGATTTTAGAGAGTTCGCCCGTTATCGAAATGTTAATGTGGCAATATATAAACAATTATTGGTCATTTACGTGTTTTTTTTTCATAAGAAATGATCCGTAAACGTCAGTTGCAAAATAAAATTTGTATTTTAAGTATGCTAGTCAACATATTATTATATTTGATTGCCTTTCCGTATTCTGGAGAATGCAGTGACCAAAAACTCATAGATGATTATGTGAAACGTATTGCAGAGCTTAAAGCTAAAGCGTACACCAAGGCATTACCGAAAAATGCGTATGAACATGCCCCTAAATCAGGGGCCGTTGTAGGTCTGAAGAATAAACTTTTAGTGTAACGTATTACATTGCATTTATAGACTATGGAACGTTTGACCACATCATCGTGGGCGCGGGAGCAGCTGGGTGTGTAATAGCGAACCGGCTTACCGAAGATAGCTCACGTCGTGCACTTCTCCTCGAGGCTGGTGAACATGGTACGGATTTGACAGATATACCAGCAATGAGGAATTATCTAACCGATTCCAACTACAACTGGGGCTACATGTCTGTTCCGCAAACTACAGCGTGTTTAGGTAGAGTACCTCGAGTATTATGTGTACTTACATATCTAATGTTGTTCAGGCCTTAAGGAACAACGTTGCAGCCTACATCGGGGTAAAGGGATTGGCGGCAGCACCATCATCAATGGTTTGTTTTACGTCAGAGGGAATGATAGGGATTATAACAACTGGTACAGTCAAGGAAACGTCGGATGGTCCTACAAGGACGTGTTGCCTTATTTTAAAAAGTCAGAGAACTACTTGGAAGGTGATCCCAGGTACCACGGTAAAGAAGGATACTTAAACGTGGAAACCTGGGAAGAAATAAGCGTGCAGACCCAAGCGTTCTATGATGCACATAAGTTGTTAGGAATGAAGGAGTTAGATTTCAACGGGGAAAGCCAATTAGGTTATGGGAAACCGGAGTTCAATATTAAACACGGAAAACGACAAAGTACAGGGAACGCATTCATATTACCTATTTTGAGCAGATCAAACCTTGAGCTACTGACGAATAGTTACGTAATCAAAGTCCTTATTGATAAGCAGAAGAGAGCCTATGGAGTCCTATTCACTAGAAATGGAAAACTTTACAAAGCCGTATCTCGTAGTGACATTATTCTTTCAGCGGGTGCGTTTGGTTCCCCTCATTTGCTAATGCTGTCCGGAATTGGCCCAAGATCTCATTTGGAAGAGACTGGCATATCTGTTGTCGAAGATTTGCCAGTTGGCGAACTTCTTCTTGATCACACAGGATTATACTATTTAGATTTCGCTACTAATTACACCGAAACCGAGCGCCCCTTAGATGACCTTGTGCGGAGGTACATCGCAGGAGGTGGTCCACTGGCCAATGCTTTTTCAATGGATGGTATTTCCTTTTTACAAACAAAGCGATCGAAGAACACAAAGTACCCCGATGTAGAGATTCTAATGATCCCTTCCATTAACAGTGACGAATCCACTGCTAAATTCTGGAATATCGAGGAGAACGTGTTAGAAGATGTATTAAAAGATAATGATCCGAGGCGTAGCTTTACGATAGTCGGTTTTCTCATGCATCCCAAGTCGAAAGGATTTATGCGCTTAAATTCCAGCAATCCCTTTGATTATCCTGTTATCAATCCAATGCTGCTTTCCGATCCCGATGGGGTTGACATTGAGACCATGTATCAAATGATTGAGTTAGTGTTGGAAATGGTAAAATCGGAACCATTTAAGAAACTTGACACAAAACTAAGACATGCGCCACTGTCGGCATGCAAAGACCATAAATACAAGTCACGAAATTATTGGTACTGTTTTCTGAGGCATCTTGCTCTACCTTTATTCCATACGGTTGGGACTTGCAAAATGGGCATCCATCCAAGTAAGGGAGCTGTCGTGAATCCGGAGCTCAAGGTGTTCGGCGTTGACAATTTGCGAGTTGCCGATGCAAGTATTATGCCATCAACCACGTCGGGTCATACTAGTGCACCTACTATGATGATTGGGGAGAAAGTGTCAGACATAATACGTTGCACCTAGTCTTGTAGAATAAATTGATTTTTAGCGTCCTTAGCAATGTAATTTTTTTTAAATTTACAGTCATTCATAACTAAGAACATCATGAATTTAACATTCTTTGCATCGTTTTACGTAGACGCGATAGACATAATCATTTTAAATTATGATGTCTTTTTAACAAATTAAGTTAATAACAAAAAATAATGAAATCTAATTGCTTAAGAAATGGGATTTAGTATACCCAAAACCAGAAAATGCGTTTTATTCGTTTGATGAATTTTCAGCAGCATCAAAAGGACGCATTGCATAGACTATTAGATTTAATCTGTGATAATGTTTATATACACTGTGTAGTTACTTTTATATGTATTTTTTACTTCTAATGTTGACCAATGTAAGTGCATGGCACATAAACAGGGCTAAATATATTATTATTATGGTCGGTGTATCTTGTGAGAACTCAGGTCTAGCCTGGTTAACTAATCGCACGGATTAAAATCAAGTAACGATTAGTGTCTGTGTCTGTGGCTGGTGAAGTTATGTAGGGTCCTAAAAAAAATTATTATTATTATTATTAACCTCTTTTTTAATTTAAGAATTTTAAAAGTTTTATCCACCAGCTTCTCCACCAAGATAGGCTGAGCAGACCACCAAGCGCCTGCTCCGTCGTATGCCATCTTTCAGCTGAAGTTTTATAAGACGAGATCCCTACAACAGAAATCAGCCATTAGACTCGATTCGTATATCGATATAAGTCTTAGGATTCTGTTGGCTGTCCCTCTTATAGTAAAGAGACAGTAACGAATCACTTTACGATCATTCAAGTGCCTCTGTGAGCGTCTCGCCACCCGGGAACGAGCCTGGATCCAATTTTTTTACTAAAATTGGGACGATAAGGGCAATTCAGATAAAATGATTTACAAAGACTCCTGCTTAATGCGTATGAGGGGCGCTACCCCATAATAAATAAAGGGTTAACGAGGAACGTTCCCTGGTGGATTGAGGAACTAGAAGAAACATCGGACTAATGTCAGAAGCATATTCAACAAATCCAAACGATAGAGCACAAAGGAACATGCGAAGAGTAGAGAAGTGCCCTAGTCGAGTACAATTCCGCCATATGAAGGTCCAAAAGAATGACTTTTAAATTCTGTGAAAGAATCGATTCGATAACAACAGCATCGCCCCTGCAAAAGCTTCTACAAAAAGACCACTCCAATGTCATTGGGATTTGGGAATCTTAAGAAACCTCATGGGAAATACAGAGTGGGCGCCTCATCATGAGCACTCACTTTCCAAGCTCACAAGAAGTAAAGCCTTCTTTTTAACAAATAGAGGCAGAAGGTCAGGTAAGACCTCAAAAATCTTCACACTGGGAGCGTAGAATGGGCCCTAATGACCTTTAAACTCTTTAAGGCGCCTGGTGGAGACGATATCCTTTAGGACTCTTCCAAGAATTTTTTGGGTACATACCGCAAACTATAATTATGTAAGGTCTACAGAACCAGCTTCTGCTTCGCTTACATACCCAGAACGTGGCAGGAGGTGCATGTTGTGTTCATACCAAAAGAGTTAGGACGCTCAGTTTGACTCATCAACCTTAGCCGTCAGTATTGAAGGGAAAAGTCTTAGAGCAATCAGCTAAACATCCCTTCCGCGTTGGAAACAGAGGCCTCCCCTCCACAACAATACGCTGGATAAAGTCCATGTTGAGGGTCAGGAAGATAACGGCAAGGATAGGCAAGGAGTTATTACGGCATAGTGTTGACCAAAAGAGGATGCCCTCAAGGGGGGAAACTATCGCCCTTACTATGATGACTTGTGGTTGATGACCTACTAATAGCATTGCACCGAACCAGAAGTGGCCGAGTACCTATCGGACAGTGAACAGTGAAACAGAAATAGGAGCCAGCGGCCCAAACTGCTGAATCTCGGAATCATTGGGACAAAAAGCCACCGTCCTTCAAGCGGAAATCACCGCCATAAATCTTTGTGGCCTCATAAATCTAGAAATGGGTAAGAAGGGAGCAAACATCGATTAAGCTGCACTGAAGGCGTTAGTAGCCCGTACCTGTGACTGCAAACCCTTCTGGGAGTTCATCGCTGACTAAATAAATTGGCAACCGGCAACCGTATCACGCTAGGTGGGTACCAGGGCGTTTGGACGTTACGGTCGAAGTTTCCCAGTTTTTTTTTAGTTTTTATTAATTTTAGTTTCTGTATACTTACTCCAATATCAAAAGAATTATGTAAGTTTTGAAAGCACTACAGAATGCTACTGCTATTTTTGCACGAGTAGGTATATATAGGATTGAGGCTTTAGAATAAGAAAAAGGTAAGATTTCAAGTTAAGGGTTTAGAAAATGTTTGTATTTCGCCTTTGAAAAAGGAAATTAGCGAAAGAACGGTAACTTATGATTATTGTAAATAAACCGTGTAGCACGAAACAGATAAGTGCATGTGCGGTCAGTTACGAGATAAGCAATTTCAAATAACGAGATTTTGGTGATGATTCATTGCTCAAATGTTGCATTTGTGTTGACCGCTGACGCTTTAAGTGCAGTTTTAATCCAAATGTTTGCGAAGTGCGTGTGTAAAGTGTGCAGGAATGTGTATTTTAAATAAATCGGGAATCCAGGGAACCTGAGGGTAAAATTGTGACATATCAGTGCCCAATTTAAACTTACATTACCAAATCGCCCGATGGGAGCTGTATCTTCGATATACTATAAGTATTTTGGGGAAGATCATAGAAAACCAGGTATTTTCCGATTTATTTTACGTTTATGGCATGTGTTTTTCATTAACTTTTTGAGAGGTTTTCAAACTTTTGTGCTTTAAAATTATTTTTAAACTGTACTTTCTTAAAGTAGATGATGATAATGTTACTTTACATGGAAACCCTTACTTTTTATTGCATTTTTGAATTTTGCGTGAAGTATGGCTTCATGATCTACAATTTATGATTTTAAAGTAGGTATTTTCACTTTCCTAAAGAACCATCCATAAAAATCGTATAACTAATTTTTTCATGAAATGACACTTATTTGGTATTGCATTGCATTTAATTTGAATTTAAAACATTTGTAGGGGCGTTAAATAAATTTGTTAAGACCTGGAAGGCGGATTTAACCCCTTTACACGTCTAAAATGAATTCGAAATTGGAAAACTTTTTGTGTGTGCGTTACATGAACCATTTTTTTTTACCTTAAAAGAGTATTTCACCCTAGGATTCTAAGAATTAGAATTTGAGACATTTTTTGTATAGGCCTTGCGTTAATAATCTTTTGAGACTTCAAGAGAGGTTTTCACCTCGGTTTTCACCACATTTTCTGGAAAATACCTGCAGAATTCAAAGCTTTTTTTGTGCTGATATTACGTAAATGTTTTTTGTACCTCAGGTCGGGATTCACATTTGTGACATAAGAATTTGAAACCTTATTTGTGCGGGTGAATTTATAGACCTCAAGGCCGGACTTTACCTCTTACTCTCAAAAGATTACAAACTTGAATATCTAGACGCTAAATGAACTCATTTAGATTTCAGTGGCGGATACACCCCTTGCTTTTAATGTTCTCTATTGATTTTGGGGACAGAGGCACGCAATCAAACTTTTTTTCCTTTCCTTTTTACTGAATGAATTGAATATTTGTGTACCAAAACCTTGATAGAAATGGATCGTGTACCAAGAATATCTTCGCCGGTCGTCCCTCGCACATTTTAAGGTGTAAAACCCAAAAATTAAATTATATCCAAAGAGCAAAATACTTCTACTGTAACTGAAAGTGCCAAAATATTTTAGTCTAACCAAAAATGTGAAATCGCATATGAATTAAAAAAAAACGAAAATAGTTCTAGTGAATTACCCTGTATATAACACGTTATGAAAAAGTTCAAAATACACATTTTCAAAGTGGGAATGTACTTAATTTCCCAGTTTGTAGTGGGAAACGTATACTTATGCCTTTTTATATTTCGACAATCTCCTATCAATTTTAATTTTCTTTGAAATGAAACTATGAAATACGTTTCCAGGGACTTCGAAGAAGGGTTCAGCGTTAGATCCCCACGTGCAATTTTTATTTTCTCACGTACAAAATACGCACAGAATTTGATAAATAAGCAGGTATCAATCAGGTATAAAATTGAATTGAAAGTATTAGGGGTGTTAATTGCTACGGAAGTTTTGAACTCTAAAACTAAAAGGAAGAAAATGTATGTATGCGCGTAAAAATAATGGCACGAGTTACATTTAGATACCAACGAGTTCCAAAATTACGATTCCAACATGGGTAATTTAGCCCCTCATTCCATTTAAAAACTTGCAAAGATTGCAATTTCAAGGTGGGCGTTGTAGGAAGGAGGTTGAAGGTCAAAATATACTTGTACTTTATAAGGGTTTGAAACCCGTAGCAGAGGATTAGAGATGAAAGAATTGTTTTTACTTAAAAATGGGCTTCCTAGACATAAAAATCGTCCGGTTCTTTGATAACATTCCGACAATTAATTTTCTTTGAAATGAAAGAGGCAGAATTCTATGTAAGGCGTTTCCAGGGTTCAGAGTTTGATCAATACCTGCAATTCTTATTTTGTCACAAAGAAAATGGGCACAGAATTTGAGAATGGGTGCATAAATTAGTAGAAATCTGATATACAAATAGGAGATAGATTCTTACCCCGATAAGTATTAGGGGTGTTAGGTAGAAACCCTCTACAGAAGTTTTGGACTTCTCCAAAACTAAAAGTGCAGAAAATGTGTGTATGGGCTTACAAATCGTCACGAGTTACATTTCGGAAAATTTTGATTTTGTCCGAAATCTCTGAAATTTAATTAAAAGAAAAGTAGTAACGGTAGTCAGCGGTAAACTATATGTGCTGTCGGCGGAACGGACGGACGGACCCATGCGCTACCAAAGGTTACGGCCTTGCCTCTGGTCAAGGTGAGCGGTAGCAGCGTTTTGCGCGGCGGTTTCGGAAGCCTCAAGTGAGCTTATTCAGAGTAAACGGCAACTCCAAGAATTTTACGAATTCGGCACATGGCGGCGGTTACTTTTGAAAAACCAAAACAAAATTGCGACAAACTCTCTAGCGGGAATAAAAGCAACAAAACACAAATTAGTTAGTGGTGTCTACGAGAAAGGAAATGCAGGACAGGGAAACAATATCCCCCCTTATAATTAATGGAACAGAAAGGAGCAATCAAACAGAGCGGTAGAAATTACTATGTAACGAAAAGCAAAAGCTGTAGATACGGCGCGGTATGAATGCAATAAAATTTACGGAAAAGTTGCAAGAATTATCTTTGCATAAAAATAGACTGCCCCTGATATAAAAATCGCCGTTATTTGTTGAAAAAAATTAAGGTTTTGCTTTACCAACTGATCCAAAAAGAGGACACAGCAGCTCAAAATATAGTTTTAGTACAGGCTTTTCCAGATTAGTGAAAATTGAAGAATATACCTATTTAGCAATTTTGCAGAGGACTCGGCAGGATATGCCTTGATTAATTGCAATACTTTCAATTTTGATCATAGCATAGTTTAATCTGTTTCTATTTATCGTTATTTTTATTATTTTCTAAGGACTACATACAGAGAAGATTTGCCTTAATCTGCATTTTCACGCGAAACTATAAAAACACACTCCTTAATTATAGATTATTTGTTAATAATCACCATATGCATAACAAAATAAAAATAATGAAAGATGAGCTGCAAAACGTAAACAATTCTCTGTACATTACCCCGAATTATTAATGCCATGATAATGAGATAAATCTCGTTTCGGAAATAGCAACCGATACCGCTGTTTTTCAAAGTTCGCATGCTATCGAGACGTTTGGTGATAAGGTGATCTGTAAACAATGTTCAACATATAGTTCTCTTCCTTTTCGCCGGCAACACTGTCATTTACTTTTCTAAGCATGTTAATCAACTTATTACTATGCGCGGCAGCGTTTGCGTATATTGGAGAATGTAGTGAACAAAATCTTGTAGACCATTATGTAAAGATCATCACAGAACTTAAAGCAAAAGCGTACACCAAGCCATTGCCAGAAAATGCAGATCAACACGCCCCTGAAGCAGAAGAACGTATAGGTATGGAACCCAATGTCTTAATAGTAGGTGTATATTGCATGATGTTTAGATTATGGTACGTTTGACCACATTATCGTGGGAGCGGGGGCCGCTGGGTCTATAATAGCGAATCGCCTTTCGGAAAACAGCTCGCGACGTGTACTTGTGCTGGAAGCCGGTGAATATGGTACAGATTTGACAGATATCCCAGAAATTCGTACCTATTTAACTGATTCAAACTACAACTGGGGTTACCTGTCTGTTCCACAAACTACTGCGTGCTTAGGTAGAGTATCACAATCTCGAAGGTTACCTACATTTCTAATTTCGTCCAGGTTATAAAGATCAGCGATGTATTCTATACAGGGGCAAAGGAATTGGTGGCAGTACCATAATCAACGGTTTAAATTACATTAGAGGAAATGATAGGGATTATGATAATTGGTACAAACAAGGAAATGCTGGATGGTCCTACAAGGATGTGTTGCCTTACTTTAAGAAGTCAGAAAATTATTTGGAGGGGGATCCCGAGTATCACGGCAAGGGCGGATACTTGAATGTGGAAACCTGGAAAGAAATAAACGTGCAGACCCAAGCATTCTTTGATGCGCACAAGCTGTTAGGAATGAAGGAGGTGGATTTCAACGGAGAGAGCCAATTAGGTTATGGGAAACCGCAGTTCAATATTAAAAACGGAAAACGACAAAGTACAGGCAACGCATTCATATTACCTATTTTGAGCAGGCCAAACCTTGAAGTACTGACAAACAGTTACGTAACCAAGATCCTTATTGATAAGCACAAGAGAGCCTCTGGCGTAGTGTTTACTCGAAATGGAAAATACTGGGAAGCAAGGTCGCGGAGTGATATCATTCTTTCAGCGGGTGCATTCGGTTCGCCTCATTTACTAATGCTGTCCGGAATAGGCCCAAGGTCTCACCTAGAAAATGTCGGAATACCTGTTGTCCAAGACTTGCCAGTAGGTGAGCACCTTTTTGATCACACAGGCTTTTACTATTTGGACTTCACTACTAATTACACTGAAACTGAGCGCCCTCTAGACGATCTTGTGCAAAACTACATCGCAGGAGGTGGTCCACTGGCTAATGCGTTTGCAATGCAGGGCATTTCCTTTTTACAGACAAATCGATCAAAGAACACAGACTATCCAGATGTAGAGATTATGATAATCCCTTCCATTAATAGTAACGAATTCACCGCGAAGTTCTGGAATATCAACGATGACGTGTTAAATGATGTGTCAAAAGATAACGATCCCAGGCGCAGCTTTACGATCGTCGGCAACATCATGCATCCCAAGTCAGAAGGCTTCGTTCGCCTAAATTCCAGCAATCCTTTCGATTATCCCGTTATCAACCCCATGCAGCTCTCAGATCCCGATGGGGTAGACATTGAAACCATGTATGAAATGCTTGAGTTAGTGTTGGAAATGATAAATACGGAACCATTCAAAAGACTCGACACGAAACTGAAATATGCACCATTGTCAGCGTGTAAGGATCATGAGTACAAGTCGCGAGATTATTGGTACTGCTTTTTGAGACAACTCGCCGTTCCATTTTTCCATTCGACTGGAACGTGCAAAATGGGCACCCATCCCAGTAAGGGAGCCGTCGTGAACCCGGAGCTCAAAGTGTTCGGCGTTGACAATTTGCGAGTTGCCGATGCAAGTATTATGCCATCAACTGTATCAGGTCATACTAGTGCACCTACTATGATGATTGGAGAGAAGGCGGCAGACCTAATACGGGGCATGATCACGAAATAAAGTTTTCTCAATTGATTTACTATGTATATTTACACCATTAAATAATTCGATCATAGTCCACACTAAAGGTATATTTCTGGGGTACTTGCAACACCAACCTCTCAAAGAGCCTACTCCTCTTCACCCTTTCCTCCAAATTTTGAAGTTTTTCCTTCAATTCCCCATAACCTACAACAAAGATATGTTTCAACCCCATGCATATAATAATGAACTTTATTTTTAAGTAACAAAACAAGTAACAAAGAGCAAAACAACAAACAGTATTTAGTCAAAGTAACCTTTAAATTCCGGATTTCGTATGAAACTTGCGACTTTTTCCCCGATCATCGACGCCGCGATGCTTGGTGGTCCAGAGATGCTCGTTGGAAAGACGCTTGTGTCTGCCACTCTCAAGTTCCGAATTCCGTGCACATTGAGATCTGAGTCGACTACCGAGTCTTTGGGGTTTGGTCCCATTTTACACGTTCCGACAGGGTTAAATGAGCTCGTCGTGAGCTGCCTTAGCTGACAGTACCAGAACTTTTTTGTCAGGTACGCGTAGCGTTTGCAGGCTGGTAGCGGTTCGTGCTTTAGTTTGGCGTCCACCTTTTGAAAAGCGGCCGTGCGCACCATCCTCTGTGCCAACTGGATACCTTGGTAAAGCGTTTCGATATCTTCGTCGTTTGGATCCGATAGCAATCGGGGGTCGATGCGCGGATAATCGAAGGGGTTTTTCGAATTTAATCGGAAGAACCCTCGTGATTTTGGATGCAACAGGTAGAGGTATATCGAGAAAGTTTTGTTCGGTTCGTTCTTTTCTAACGTGGCCTTGTAGGTTTCTCGATTGTAGTTGAAGACCTCTTGCGAAAAGTCGTTTGTATTATTAGAGGCAACCAGTAGAGCCTGAATATCCGGGACATTTTTCGTGGCAGCGTACTTGGTTTGAAGGAATGCTACAGCCTGTGCATTCAGTGGGTTCGTAAATGGTCCAAAGTTGTTTAGGTAATCCTTGACAAGTTGCTGTAGGCTGGTTATTGGTTCAGTGTGATTACTCGTAAATTCCAGATTGTAGTAGGCTGGCTGATCTTCAAAATTGTCGCCCACTGGCAAATCCTGAATCACTGGTATTTTGAGGTTCTCCAAGTGAAATCTTGGCCCTATCCCCGATAGCATCAAAATTTGTGGGGAACCAAAAACTCCCGCACATAGAATGATGTCGCTGCGCGATTTGGCAAAGAAAATTTGACCATCTTTGCTGAATATTACACCGTACGCCCTTTTGCGTCGATTAATCAGAATTTTTATAACGAAGCTATTTAGGGATATATTTAAATTTTTCCTTTGCAAGGCGGGGAGAAGAAACGTATTCCCCGTACTCAGTCTTCGGCCTTTATACTTGTCTAGTTGGGTTCGGGAGACACCCAACTGATTTTCACCGTTATAGTCGACCAAGTGCCGACCTAATTCCTCATTTGCCTCTAGAAATGCGCTAGCTTGTGGACTTATTGGATCTTGATACTCTACGTTCACCACTCCACCCTTTCCACGCAAACTGTCATCGCCATGTTGGAAGTTTTCGACTTTTTTGAACAGAGGTAGCACATCATCGTAAGACCAACCCGGGTTACCGGCCAGAGACCATTGGTTGTAGTCTTCTCTATTTCCACGCGAATGGATCAGTCCATTAATGATGGTCGTACCCCCCAAACCTCTACCCCTAGGATACGAGCACTGCCTTTTGTACATTCCTGTAAATCATCGATTCAGAATCAAGATATGCTATCGGTTCGCACTCACCAAGACAGGATGTGGTTTGTGGTGTACTAAAGTAGTTCCAATTATACTCTAATCCTTGCAGATAGAAGGCCATTGCGGGTATATCCGAAAAATTAGACTGCTGACCACCCGCCTCAAGCAGCAATACTTTTGTAAAGGCATCCTCCGATAGTCTATTTGCCACAACTGCCCCAGCCGAACCAGCCCCAATGACTATGTGATCGAATGTTCCATAATCTTAAACTTAGTGTGAGTTGCATTGCCACAATTTTACACGCTAATTACCTGAGTAATTGCCGTGTAACGGCCGATATTGATTAGCATTGTCGATAATTGGGTGCTTAAATGCTCGATCTTGCTCCTTGGTGATCAAGTCAACGTAATAATCCACTAGACCACCCTCATCACTGTATGCAGATGAAACGAAAGTGCTGCACAAACACACCAAAAGAAGACTCATCTCTCTAAACGAATGGTAGCGCAATTATTTTTATTTATAACACAAATCCTACTCCGCGTGTTAAATACCTCAATTAATTCGTTATTCGTGTAAGAAGAAAAATACGATCACGCTCTACTTCCGGTTTATTTCCTTACGGCCATGGTCACACTAATATTTTCATCAACAAAAATACTGCGACTACTAGGATAGCTACCGCGCACTTAAGCTGGAAGCATTTTTTTGTTAAATAACAGTTTATGTGGCATTTCTGGCAGTGTTAATTACATAAGTAACTTTCTTGTATAGTTTATTGCCAGTAATTAAATTCAAGCGTGAAGATGGTAACTCTCTCCTTCAACGCATAAATGCAATAATAAGATTCTAGAATTTATAATTAATGCAAAAGGGGAAATGGAGAACACCATTAATTCGGTCATAAGAACGACCTTACGCAAAAATCATTTACCATCGTCAACGATTCTACTTCTTCCATTTATTATTAGTACTTTCGCTACGTGTACTTTGGAGACGTTTGAGTTTGCTACACCCATTCTATACGATGGATTAAAGGGTTTCCAGCAATTTCCTACCGATGGAAGTGTATATGTTGGGCGCAAAGCCCGAAAACGGCCAATGGTCGTTTTTTTTGCTCCATCTTAGGATTGGACTATTTAAAACAACCAAAGCCCGGATTTCCTTTCAATGTCGGGCTTCGGTCGTCTCCAAACAGTCAAACCTAGGATCGTGCAAATATGAAACGACCAAAGTTTAATAAATTCGGTTCCAGTGTCAGTGTGAGGTAGGTATGACATTTTAACCATTAGGGACGTAGAAAACGTAGAAACGTAGACCAATTTTGAGCAACAACATGAAATCAAGAGGGCAGGTGGATCTTATAGATATGCAAACAGGACCACAGTGAGACTATAAATTTATTTTTTTCACTACTAGCGTCTGATGGCATCATTATTAACCTTTTTTCCACTTGTAAAGTAGGCTTTCTCGGCATTTGTTCAAAGTGGTTAATAATGTGGACATTATTAACTAGTAGTCAATAATGAGAACTGTCACGCTGTCACTTTTAGAAAACACAACCCGAAATTTCGCTCAATAAACGTTTAGACAAATTCTCTAAAATGAATAATTGCCACCATCCGCCATTTCCAGAGAAATTACATACCTAAAATTATCACATTTTGAAAAAATTCGAACGAAATTACCCTTTGAAAATATTTCAATGACAGAACAAAATACGGCCTGTTTGACTTGTACTTCTCCGCACTTGATTGACATGTTAAATTAATAAACAAACAATTCTGTCCAACCGTTCACTTTCTTATCAATATAATATGTTAATTTAGAGGACTTCAAGTGCTAGTAGTGAAAAAAATAGTATATATACCACGGTAGAGAAGTCTATTATTGCCTTCGCACCTTACACCCCTCGGCGCAAGCGCCTCGAGATGTAATTTTGGTGCTCAGGCTTGATATATAATGTACTATTTCAGGACCATCTAACAAAATCAGTGTTTTTAAAACCTTTGAAATCTTAAAGAGTTACGGAGGTACCTTACAATCTTTTAGACATTTTTTGTATAATAGGTACTCCTTACATCCTCCAATGTGGCAATGGAACAGAGTTCACCGCAGCGCAGTCATAAATGAACTTGCTGATTGATATGTTCGAAGTTATTTATGCATCAAGGGCATTAAGGCATTATGCCGAGGGCGACAGAGCCCGAGGGCTTCCGGCCCGAGGGTTTGTACGACGCCCGAGGGTTAAATATCGAGTAATGCCTGAGTTGCATAAAAAATTTTATTTTTCATCGTTTCAAATAATGCATTTCCAATATACAAATGTAATGATTATTGTTTGCCCAACATTAAAATGCTTCATATGAAATGAATCAAGTAGCATCTTTTTGTATTACATAATATAACTCCATCAATATATTTGGCAGGTCGTTTGAGGGCATAATGAGGTGACAATCCATTATGCCCTTGGGCGTAATAGACTGCTTTATATATTTCATATGACAGATATAATTGGCATACAGAGTGGCCCAACGACAAGTATACAGAGGGCTTTTAGGGTATTAAATTTAGAAATTTCGAAAAATCCTCGAACACGTCAATTTTGTATTCGAGGAGAACAACTTTTGGAATACAAATCACGAACCGAAGTCTTCACACCTCTACGTAGGGAGCTTAACTCCTAAAATTTTAAATGGAATCCTATGGCAAATGGCACATTATTTGAAAGCCAATTTAATCGTGATTACTAATCTGCTTTGCTTTTTAAATTCTATTGATTCCTTTCGGAGATAATTCGCATTTGAAATGTTTTTTTCTAAAAGATCAAAATCTCGAAATAAGTGCGTTACGTCATTTATGGGTTGCCTCTTCAAAGATTTTGAATGTTACTGAATTTCTATTGAGTCACTAAAAATGTGTATTAGCTTTGGTTATTTCCTAATTACTCAAAGTTAGGTTTGGCTGCTTCAGGACGACCGAAGCCCGAAATTGAATTAGAATTCGAGCTTTGGTCATTTTACATAGTCCAGTCCTAAGTTTGAGCAAAAAAACGACCATTGGCCGTTTTCCGGGTTTGCGCCCAACATATGTAACAAATAGTCTGAAATTTATTGTATAAGATTTTCTGGAACAACTTTTTCCGAGAGGTTTTCGCAGTTTGTGACGGTTAAAATAACTAATCATAGTGTTTTTGTTGGCCATGCACTATATCTTACTCAAAAATACCTGAAATAAGGTGCCAGTGATATGTCATCCCCTATTACTTAAAGTAGGTATATATTTCAAAAGGAAGATGCTTTTTATTTAAAGAACAGCATCAAGTGGAAGAGAATCATGGGGATCACGTACATTTTTCAGTAGTAAAAGTTGATAAAATACTGAGACCCACTACGATATTGATATCGCAAGCGCAACATTTTCAGTTGGTATCCCAATTTTAGCCGAGTGTAGTTAGATTTATGTATAATTGGGGCCCTGAATTAGCCAATTAAAAGGCGTTACTTGCAATAATTGCATTTTTTAAGTCTGTATTTCGATCATTACGTATTATTTAAAAAAAAGAAAACATTTGATAATTCTGAAGTATTACGGCTCTTAGTTATCAAAAGCGAATATACTTATTAAAAATCTAGGAATCTCTACATTACCTGCAAATAAGGGATTACTTGCGAAACCATACCCTGTACTCTAATACCTTCCGTAAAAAACCAAGCCAAAACGATTTGCACAAGACAAAGTTAATATCATCGTGATAATTTGGGTGATTCCCAGAAAAAAAAAACGATCTTGATTAAACCTTCCAACTTTTGTCACACAAGCAAGTCTCATTTGCTTCATTAAATTTTTGAAATCAAAAAATTGCATTATAGTCGTATTAAAGTAAGCTTAGTTACGTACCAAGTTTGCATATATATAATTTCAAGAGCTTTAACAGTTTCTGATGCACTGGGTTTTTCTCTGCCTTTTATAAATAACTGAACCGAATGTGATGCTGGACTTAACCGATTTACAATTGAATTTGGATGAATCTTGGCAGCGCCCTAATGGTCTCTTTGAATGTAACTAATAATAAGGGTAGGGTGTTAACAATTGTAGTACTTTGTTAGTCAATGAAGATTATGGTTGCTTGTACGAGTATACAGGCTGTTTTACTGTTACCTAATTAATAATTGAAATCTGAATTTCCATACCAACTTCTATCGAAAGAAGATATTATCATGATCGTTCCACTTAAGGTATTAACGGATGTCATTATTAACTTTTTTATTTTAGACAGAACACCCTGTATTTTATTGTATTTTTGAAATCTACATGACAAATTTCAGTTTTTTGATTTGCAATAAGATCCAGACATAATTTTAACAAAAATTCACTCTTATTTTTCAAAATACTTTCAGTATACAGTGCTTTTTATTAAAAAGTAGACATGGGGATTTACGTATATTGTTTATGTCCCTATGTCTGCTTTTAAATGACAAAATCTCTTCTGAAGGGCGCCTAATTTTATGCATCCAAAATAACTTCTTAAAACAAATAACGATATGGCTGTCATTAATATTTAATTTGCATATTGTTGTCAGTCTCTTAAGGCGGAAACACATTACTGTCACGTCACGTGAGCTCACGCAAACTCACGTTACCTGCGCAATATGTGCAACTCCACTGACGTATAGAAGTTTATGACGTTTATCATTTATGTCTTTAGAGTCATAGTACTGTCACCTCACGCATTCACGACGTGCTGTTCTGATCTCGCATGATATCACGCCTCCGTTATCCCGCAAAATTACATTTTGTAGTAGGACGTGACATCCCGTCAAGTGTTTTCCGAAGTGGTTTCGTCAAGAAAAGATGGACGAACATTTAATTGAACTGGTGAGACTGCACGAAGGGCTATACAATCACTCCTCTGCTGAGTACCGGGATCCCAAGCTTGGTAGGAAATTGGTAGAATCTTAGCCACTGTAAAAGCAGCGACGTTTTCTATATCCTCTTCCTCGTCTGAAGAACTTGACGAAGAAGAATCTCTACTTTGCTTCATCGCCACTAATGACTAAATGCAAATCTTAAATTGCATCGGAAGCTGCTACCGCGCGACACGGTGAGCGCACACAAGTGTGTCTCCTAGCGTGACATCACGCGAAGGTATGCTTGACGTGATAGCACGTGAGCTCACCCCTTTGAATTTTTTCTCGAAATTGGTTTCTAGTCTATAACTTTTGATTGAGAAGTCTGATCGAAAAAGTACGAATTGATTTGGATTCTACGCTCCAAAATTAATAAGAAAAAGTGTTTTCCCGAGAAATTTTGGTGTAGTCGATTTTTGGTAAAAAAAAAGGGAAGGTTATACACTGCCTTTTTTTGAGCCCCGAAATAAAAATTGTCTCAGATCGACACGGAAAATTCTTATAGAATTCTTATAGAATGTGTTTCCGCCTTTACGCTCCTTGAGCTGTTACCGAAACTATACCAATTGGCAATATCAACTTTTTCTTCAGTTGAATACATCGGACACGAACGAAATTAAAAATACAGAAGCCAAAGTAATATTCAAATTAATCAATCTGACGGCCAGTTTTAAGAAGCTATTTTGGTTGTATAAAGTTAGGCGCCTTTCAGAAGAGATTTTGTCATTTAAAAGTAGACATAGGGAGAAACAACGCATATAAATCACTGTCTGTTTCTCAATAAATAGAACTGTATAGTTAGCACATTGTCAAGCTGTTCCCTTAATTTTTAAATTGGCCATTAAACCAGGGAGTTTCAAAGAAATTGATTTAGTTTTCTGGCGCTCATTAACGGATAATGATTTAGCGTGAATTGTAATATTTTCAATTAAAAACGCTGAAGGTTTTTTTAATGATGAGTCGTTTAGAAGGTCCTGGATCCACCCCATAAGGGTAGGGAGGCCTGAAGCTTCTGAAGAAACTAATTAATACGTTAATATACGAGTCTAACCCCTCCCTGTTTTGTAATAACAAAGTTTTTACGAAAGCTCGCTCTTGTAGGACAGACATCTACCTCTAGGCAGAGTTGTAATTTTTGTCGTGGATTAAATATTTTTGTTTTGGTGATTCATTTTATTTATAAGGTCCACCACCCACCCCATTATCGGATATAAAAATCTAACCGCTTTAGAATTATGAAATTCTTTAGAGCGTAGTGCCTTTAAGCGTTGCAAGTGCTTTTAAGACAAACTATACACTCCTTTTTTATACTATTTTTGCAATATGATTTCAAAATAAGGGAAATAAAGTAAAATCATATTGACCTTATACTGGATATAGGTACATTTCTAATTAAGTGGTCTGCTTATTCGTAATTCCATGATTCCCATGGAAATGTTACATGAGGTTTGGTTATAAAAGCACCGTCTTTGTAAATAAAATGACTTCGGTTGAAAAAGATAATACACCGTCCATTCAGTGGCTTGTTGCAGAACCTTAAGAAAAGATGGTGCCTACAAAATCCAAATGCAAAACCCTAAATGCATCAATAATGCTGGAATATATGAAGGAAATACCAAAACACTTTAAGAATTCCTTCAAAACTTCAAACTCTGCGATAAAAAAGTGAATGCAGATTTGGCCACCATCAATGACAAAAGCTGATTCTTCCAAGTTTATCTTATGCAGTGGTGTAAAAAAGTCATATAACACTGATTTGGGTCAATGTCAATTGATGGTCAACTGCTTTCTGGGGGTCCATCAACTTCCCGAACGGACGAAAGTATCAAAAAATCAACGAGCTCGTGCGTGCAGATCGGCGAGGAACCATGGAGGAACTCGAGGAGCTGTTTGGAGTGAGTTGGAGCTGGGAGCTCGGTTCAGCGAATCGTATCGAAGGATTTTGGCATGGCACGGGTCGCTCCAACACCGGTCTAACATCTTTTTTAGAGATAATTACTGGCGATGAGTCAAATATGAAGACAATGGTCATTGGTTTTTCGACGCAAAAGGGATTGTGAACTCGGTTCGCTCCAACAGGTCAGACCGTCGATCAGGTTTTCTACTTGGAGGTTCTCAGGAGGTTGCGCAGCAGTGTGATGTGAAAAAGGCACGAAATATGGCAGTCTGATGATTGATTTTTGCACCACGCCAAAGCCCCAGCTCACACCATCATCTCGGTGACCACTTTCATGGCAAGAAACGCAATGGGCTGTCTTGCCCCACCCACTCTATTCACTCGATATGGCTCCGAGCGACTTTATTTTAACCCCCTGAATGAAAAGGAATTTAGGCGACGTGGAGGAGGTGAAGAGGAAAGCTTGCTGATATTGAAGTAGATGAGTTCAAAAATGTTTCGAATGATGGCAGAAGAGATTAGACAAGTGTATTGCCGCTAACGGAGAGTATTTTAAAGGAGATTGAATGAATTTTGTGCAAAAGCAAAAATACACGCTTCAAAAACAACTTTCCTGGTGCCTCCTCCTACTTAAGACAATAACTACCAAGCTACACAAACCGATGCTCTAATGGAAAGCAGAGGTTCTATGACACGCAAGTATCAAGCATTCCAATGGTGACAGTTCCCTCGGCTTATACAACCCGTATAGGATGTGCACGGATTACTCCTGAAGATAAACGCAATGTCTTGATCGCTATACTTTGGTTTTCCATGTAAATAAAATTACTTCACAGATAAAATTAAAAAAAAAGAGCTAATAGACGTAGGATTTGGTACAAATTTGTATTTACCGAAAATCGTCCTGAAACCTTCATTTTCATGCCTACTTTCTGTCAGGAAATTTGAGTTTCCATGACATAGGCAGAGCAGACTACGTTTCCTGCCGCTTGTCACTTTACCGGCCGCACCGTCACTTTACCGGCCTCATTTGTGACATTTCCAAATGTCTATAATGACTCCTGTCATCACTGACAGTTCAAAAGTTCTATATAAAAATTGAAATGTTAAATTAAAAAGCTTAAACTTCAACGTTGCCAGTTTAGATATTGTACGGTTGGTTGCCTAAGTGGCAGTAAGCTTCCGATTATCATTACTTTAGTCGGTGATCGTACGTGGTATGATCTTGCAGGTTCTTGATACTTTGATGTTATGCAACCTGTATAGAGCGTGGCCCACTATATTTACTACGGAATCAAGTTTTACATCAGAATGTACGGTTTAAATTTGTAGCGCCCTCGCAGACGCCTTCTCAGGGATTTTCTGAGTATGGTGCCACTGTAATCGGAAAAGTAAAATATACGCTCTCGAGTAAATTGGCATTTTGCCTAAGAATGTAATTTAAAAGGCGTTCCAAAATAGTAAATAACAGTTAGCCTGACGCTTTGGGTACAGTTACAATTTGTGGTAGCTTGCGATATATAAACATTGAGGGTTCAAGTTCAAAAATCTTTATTCCGACTTCAGAGGACTCTACGGAAAAAATCACTTAACGGCATTTTACCATTACTGATTCCCCACAAATTCGTGGCCACGTAAAAACTGGAATTGTTCCATTATTGATTTTAGTCGTCAACATACTCCAATTTCGTGACCAGAAAATGAAAATTAGATGATAATTTTTAGGAATAATTAAACGGAACTTTCCAACAAGTAGTCATAGTAGTATTTATCCTAAGGGCTAGTCGTGGGCAAGGTAATTATTTTACAAAAAGTTTCAAATGCAGACCCTAGAAGTGTCTCTTTTTTTGTAGCGATTGTCAGTTCCTTTTATATGCAACCACTGTTGCAAAAATTTAATGATTATTATTGCCTATAAATGAAAATGCTCATGAAACATGGATTTCACGTCGGGTATAGTATTTCTTGCGCATTTTTCCGTAGTTCTGTATAGTAAAAATACTATACTATATCTCAATACTTATCTATTTTAATTATAAAGACAATTTTGATGCGATGCTCCTTCACTAGAAATGATATGGTCATCATGTGTTCATTACATAATTTGTTATAAATAATTGTTTCAGTCTAATCAAGCGATTTACATTTAAGTTTTTCGGTTTTGTATAGGATATATAGGATTGTCGTGTGAGATGTGATACTCCTTTTTTGCGCAATGGTTGCTATGGATCCGGACATCCTGTAGATTGCACAATGGACATGTTACCGATTGACTAATATACTGCAGTAGTTATCGTAGATTGACTACTGTAAGTATCAATTGGTTGAAGTGTTATCAACGAACTAAATTAGCATTATAACTTGACCTTCGAATATCATAATTATCGCCCTAGTGTTACAAAAGCATAATGCCGAGTTAAAATAGTATTTAGTTGTCGACTGTTGGCAGTAACGAGCTGACCACCTCAATTACACAATGTTAATTAAGGTGGTTACTCTGTCCTTGCTGCTTTCATCTCTAACACACTGCTCCAATGATCTTGTTGACTATTATGTCGAATTGATTCAAAATGAATCTCAAAGAGCGTACCACGGACTACCAACCGATGCTTCAGAGTTCCGATCACTGGACAACTCCCCAATGCGTATGTATGGTATTGGATCGCCTGCAGTATTGTCAAATAGATTTAGATTATGGAAAATTCGATTACATAATTGTTGGGGGTGGATCCGCGGGTGCAGTAATCGCAAACCGTCTGTCTGAAAATCCCAAAAGGAAGGTCTTACTGATTGAGGCTGGCGGACTTGAAACAAACTTCACCGAGATTCCATCTGTAAACGTATTTTCTATGGGATTAGAGTTCAATTGGAATTATAACACAACGCCTCAATCTAAGGCTTGCTTGGGTACGTAAGCTGATTTTCTGTTATCGTACTAAACAAAAATTTAGGAATGTTCAACGAAGAGTGTTCCTATCCTGTTGGTAAAGGACTGGGAGGTACCAGTATTATTAACGCATTGATGTATGTCAGAGGTAATCGCAGAGACTTTGACAACTGGTACCTACAAGGAAACCCCGGTTGGGCGTACAAAGATGTTTTGCGCTATTTTATTAAATCCGAACGCTCCCATGTGAATGGCGATGTTGGTTACCACGGTTACGATGGATGCTTAAATGTTGAGTATAGCAAACCAGCGAGTTTAGAACTAGAAGCGTTTCTACAAGCTAATATCCAGTTGGGTCGCAAAGTTGTCGACTACAACGGAAGGGAGCAACTAGGCGTGGCGCAAACTCAGCATAATACCAAAAACGGTAGAAGACACAGCACGTGGCGTGCGTTTCTTCAGCCAGTCATAGACAGGCCTAACTTAGAAGTAGTCACTCACAGCCTTGTGACTAAAATACTTATAAACAAAGAGAAGAAGGCTTACGGCGTAGTTCTCAGCGGAAATGGACGATTGCGCTACGCTACGGTAGAAAAAGAAGTAGTTGTGTCTGCAGGATCGATAGCTTCCCCTCAGTTACTGATGCTTTCAGGCATTGGCCCCCGCCAACACCTAGAAAACCATGGCATTTCCGTGATAGAACATTTATCCGTTGGTGATAACTTTCAAGACCATGCCACGTACTTCGCGCTACATTTCACCACTAACTACTCAGAACCTGATCCAGAGCTCGAGCAAAACGTAAGAGACTACTTGAACGCATCCGGCCCGCTAACAATTCCTGGAAATTCGCAAGGGCTGGGGTTCTTCCGCACAAAACTGTCTAAAATACCAGGCTACCCGGATATAGAGCTAATCATGAATCCGTCAGTTAGCACAGGCACGACCACCCAGCAAGTGTACCACTACAATGATGAAGTGATGGATACGATTTATAAGAATATGAATCCCAGCAACACCTTTAGCATTTACGTAATGCTCCTCCATCCGAAATCACGCGGAAGCGTTCGGCTCAAATCGAAAAGCCCATACGAATACCCACTTATTAATCCGAAGTTTTTCTCCGACGCCGAAAACGAGGATATAGAAACGATGTACCAGGGAATTAAACTCGCGATGGAAATTGTGAATACGGCCCCATTTCATAGGATCGGAGCGAAGCCTTTGTACGCTCCACTGCCCGCTTGCAGGAGGTACCGATACTTATCTAGGAAATACTGGTACTGCCAGATACGGCATTTAGCATCGCATATCTATCATCCGGTAGGTACGTGTAAAATGGGACCGAATCCGTTCAAAGGGGCTGTGGTTGATCATGAACTAAAGGTACACGGTGTCGGTAATTTGAGGGTCGCAGATGCTAGTATCATTCCAGAGGCTACTAGCGGGCATACAAACGCTGTCGCTATAATGATCGGTGAAAAGTTATCTGATTTAATAAAGGCTACTTACGATTAGCTTTTGTCTTTTTTTTAAACTTTATCTGTGTGCCATGGCAACCCTAGATTATAATATCATGATAATTCTCTTTTAAAAAGGGTAATGTAGGGGTTAATATTATCATTATATTTTTTCTGCTATTTTACAGTAATGCTTTAACAGTAGTTGTGGGGACTTCAATCGAATATTCTTGTCTTTTTTCTGGGCAATGTGATTTTTAGTAAATTTCAAAAGAGAAAAGAGAATACTTACCCAAAAGGGGGAAACAAGGCAGACTAAGAGATCTTTATTCTAGTCTTGACAAGATAATAGTTATTTATTATAGAAGACAATAGAGGGATATTCTAACCATTGGGCGAAACCTTCAGGAGATGGTTAGTTTCCCTTTATCATCGTGTGTAATATTCTGACAATTCTGAATTTAATTTAGAAATCAAAAATAGCAAGCTTAGGTTCTGCCGTCGCAGTCGTTTCGATAGAAACGGCATTGTCATATGTTCTGAACGTCATTTTATATCATGCTCCGCGTCCCGTTTGAAATAAGAATGACATATGACATTAGAAATGCATAATGATCTGTTTCACTTTATTTATGCTTGCGGTTGAAGTGGTCACTTTATATACCTTGACGGTTAAAGAGCGACTTACGCTACACATTAAAGCCCATTAAAATGTCAATAAACATCTGCTATAAAATAAAGAAATAAAATACTTGATAGGGACAGAACAGCAGAAGGTCTTTAGTTGTTCTATGCTACTCCGGTATTTAGCTTAAGAATTAGGAAAACTGCAGGAAAACCTAATTCGGAGTAGCCGGCAGAATGCTCGACACTGGTCTAAGGAAACTCCCATCTCTGTCACAGATGAAAAATTCATACCTCAGCCCAGGTTCGAACACTCGACCTCGGACTTTATAGCCCAACAATTACAATATGAATGTAATACAATTACAAAAATGTGACCACCACCCTCTTAGGGATTGATCATATCAAGTGCCGTTTTCGTCAAACATTTATTTAACTTGAATAAATAAAATTGTAACAAATCTAATCACTAGCCTTTATTAAATCAGACACCTTTTCACCAATCATAATAGCGACGGCATTTGTATGACCGCTGACTGCCTCTGGAATAACGCTTGCATCCGCAACTCTCAAACCCTCTACCCCGTGCACCCTTAGCTGATCATCAACCACGGCGCCTCTCGATGGACGTGGTCCCATTTTACACGTGCCCATCGAATGATATACATTCAAAGCCAATTGTCGTATGTGGCAGTACCAGTATTTCCTAGACAAATACCGATAGGCCTGGCAAGCCGGTAATGAAGCGTCGAGTAGCCTTGCTCCGATCTTTCGAAAGGGCTCTGTGTCGACAATTTGCAAAGCGAGTTGGATACCCTGACGCATGGTTTCTAAGTCTTCGTTTCCACGGTCAGAGAAGAACTTTGGATCGATGAGCGGGTACTTGTAGGGGCTCTTCGAGCTTAATCGAATCGTTCCCCACGATTTCGGATGCAAGGGGACCACATGAATGGCGAACGTCTGGCTTGGAGCGATTTTTTTATAAATTGCATCCATTACCTCGTCGGTGTAGTGCAATATCTGCTGAGTAGTGGTTGCTGTGCAGTTTGGAGGACTTACGACTAGTTCTACATCTGGGTATCCTGGTACTTTAGATAATTTCGTGCGAAGGAAGCCTAGTCCTTGCCCATTTTCGGCAATTGTCAGCGGACCGGATCCATTCAGATAGTCTTTCACGTTTTGTTCGAGTGTTTTAGCCGGTTCTGTGTTGTTGGTGACGAAATACACAGTATACCTGCAATGGTTTTGAAGGTTATCGCCAACGGATAAATGTTGGATTACTGGAATGCCAATGCTTTGCAGGTGTTTGCGGGGACCAATTCCAGAAAGCATGAGTAGCTGGGGGGAGCCGACCGCTCCGGCCGAGAGAACTACTTCTCTCTCCGCTATTGCGTAGCGAAAACTTCCATTTCCGCTGAAAGCTACACCGTAAGCCTTCTTATCCTTGTTTATCAGCACTTTGGTGGCAAGACTGTGAGTGAGTATTTTCAAGTTAGGCCTATGGATTACCGGTTTAAGAAATGCACGCCATGTGCTATGTCTTCTCCCATTCTTGGTATTATGCTGGGTTTTCGCCACTCCTAACTGCTCCTTTCCGTTATAGTCAACAATTTTGCGACCCAACTCGACATTCGCTTGAATAAAGGCACCCAGCTCTATACTACTTGGTTTGTGATACTCAACATTAAATAATCCATCATAACCATGATAACCAGGATCGCCGTTTATATGGGAGCGTTCAGATTTAATGAAATAGGGCAACACATCTTTGTAAGCCCAACCGCGATTTCCTTTCCGATACCAGTTGTCATAATCCCTTCGATTACATCTGACGTACATCAGAGAGTTAACAGTACTACCTCCTCCCAGCCCTTTGCCAGTAGGATAAGGACACTCTTGGTTAAAGGTCCCTGAAGTCATACCTCCTTATATTAACTGACCGAAATTAGACTTTCGTACCTAAGCAAGCGGTCGTTTGAGGAGTTGAATTGTAATTCCAATTGAACTCTAGTCCCAAAGTAAAATCATTCATGGATGGAATCTCGGTAAAGTCCGTTCCGGTTCCACCTGCTTCAATTAGTAGGACATTTGTTCCTGGATCTTCGGACAAACGCGTCGTTATGACTGCTCCAGCGGATCCACCCCCAATAATAATATAATGGAATGTTCCGTAATCTAAAAGAATTATATAGCATTTCATTATAGAGCAAGGAAAGCACGTACAGGAGGGAACTTCGTCTGGCGATTGGTACTCTGAAGAATCTTTTGCGAATGTTCGGTACGCCCTTTGTGATTCTTTCTTTATTAGCTCGACGTAATTATCAACTTGATCATTAGAGCACTGCGTAGTTGCCGCAAGCAGCAAACATAGTATAGACCCTTTAATTGCCATGTCGCAATTGAAGTGATTATTATTGTGCAGTAACTGCTGCTTTTATCTGGTAACCACGTTAATTCAAGGTATGTGGAATAATTAACTGGTATCAACAATGTATATAATTAATAAGTTGGTAGTTTAATTGGCATTCTTCTACAAATTACTGGGTTTATTTGAATTGGGAACACTCGCAGTAAGTTTTTCGCTGTTGATGAGCAGACCGTTCTAATAAAACTATATTGTGGTTCCTTGTGTCGTTTCAGTCGCTTTCATTTAACAGAAAATTCTATGCAAACTTGGGCTTTACTAGTGGTCAATTACTATATTTACAGATCCAGTAAGTTATAAGAAGTTTCCCAAATCCAATACACTCCTCAAGATTCCGATGATGGTCCGATTAGGTCACAAGAACCGCTTGATTGCCCCGACCCTTCGTTAGTAGTTGTCGGACCGCTCCTCCGCAACGGTGGTTACACACTCAATTACACGGCTTCCTGCTACGAATGCAGCTACACGCAAATCCAGATCCCAACGTTTAAATCCTCGTATGGTACGGTATAACAAAACCCCATCCGAGGACCCCTCCCGGAACAAGAACCGCTAGAAATAAACCTCACGTGTAACATCGAAACAACCAAACACAAATTCGGAATAATCTTTACCTCCAGGAAGACAATGAGTCAAATTAAACTAGCTAATCACGATTTGTTGCAATCTCCAAATATAGTCCATGATGTGTCTCCCGTCAAAAAGCCATTCGAACAATCTCCAATCTATTTTCTGCAAACCAACCAAATGGATGTCCAGATTTCTAACCGATTTACATCAGCAACAACTCCACCAAATTACAAAATCGCCATCTTGCCGCTATATTTCTACAAGAAGGTCTTGAATCGTGCAAATTTCGACAGTTCACGAAGACAACAACCAATCAACAATCCTACGGGCATATTAGTTTAAGTCAGCATTGCTCTAGATACGTAAAATTGTTGAATTTTGAATTTCGCGTCACTTGAACCCATTCATTGAAATAACTAGTGCAGAATTAATGCGGTTCCTTATACGTCTTTCTCGATTACTATAGTACCAAGCTCTGTCACCCACTTATACATCACAAAAGAGAATCGAGCCTACCTTATCCAATTGGGGGTTTGAGAGGAACATAAAAATCTGTCATTTACTAATACTGGTCTTCTCTAAAGATCACAATAGTGTTTTCTCCCACCCTATTCCGTAAAGGAAAGGAAACTCAAACTTGGCTAAAAATTAATTAACAAGGAATGGAATATTTTGTCTACCTTTAATTAGAAACAACGTCAGGACAGGCATCTGCTAGTAACATTGAGATCTTAGGAGGAAATACAGGGTTTTTGAACTGATCTAAAATGTAGGTGTATCCAAATACTGCAAGACTAAATTAGGGTGATTCCAAACTGAACACAAAGATTCAACGCACCATCGTGACTGCAGCTACACTTTTCGAGGTTGGAGCTCACAAGGAGAAGAGGCACTCAATGGAACTGTTGTAGAACTCCCTCAATTTGACGGGAAAGCAGAAAGCTGGTAGACAAGTTTCGAGCTCCCGTGCAGTGCATGGAAATTGGAACAAAAGCTCATCGAATGGTAAAGGATTTCCCGAACACTGGTGTTAATTACCCCCTCGCAGTTGAGTCACTAAAACAGCAATATGGCCAAAGGAACCTCCCACTTCAACTGTACGTTCGAAAACTTCTCCACTCCAGCTCGTCATCACCACCGTAAACAACAAAGATAAGCCATTGTCGAAATTACATACTACACTGGTATCCCATATTCGCAGTTTGGACACTCTACAACTTGAAAAGCGATCCAGCGATATGGTTATACCCCCTGGTTGAAACAAGCTTGGCAACGAAGCCCACTTTCGGCTCACTATGGACTTCAATTGGTGCCGCAGAATTTAAAGTTGGTTTCATTAAGAGACTTCATGTGACACGAAGTAAAGAGATTTCGCTTGCAGGTGAAGAAGTTCAGTTCACAACCCTCAAACCATAATGGTAGGAGGGGAGAACACCAGAATAAAAGCAATATCCAAAAAGATAATCTCACACATACCTCTTTCATACCGTATTTACATCACACGCTGTAGACCTTTCTTGTTTTTTCTATGCCTACTTTCCAGTGTACATATCTGCTACCCGCTCTCTTCAAGCATTGCTCATCCCCTTCCTTCAAAGCTACATGTCTTCAAGACGATTCCTTATCTACTTTTCGATCTTTTTTCAAATCCCTCAAGGTTTCTTCACGTGTCATTTACAATATTATAAAGTTTCTAAATTTCAAAAGATTTTAAACCTTCATAATCTTCAAAGTCTTTAAAGATAATGTTTTTTGGGTCATTTTTAAAATAAGACAATACTTGAAACAGCGAATAAGTATTGCTATTCAGCGGGGGTACGCCGCCTCCATTATGAGCACTTTACCTCCTTCGGTTACCATGGAGAAAATGTTTTACCTTGTATAAATTTATTATTATTTGATTTAAATTTTATTGTTATCTTAGCTAGAATAAAAAAAAATTCCATTTAAATCTGCAAATATTTGTAAGACCATAAAATGTTTAAAAATTTTTTAAACTCATTTACGGTTTCAAATAATTTATAACTTGTAAGCCTAAGGATTTCTAAATTATTCAAAATTGTCTCTGATCGGTTTGGAATCGTTCATTAATAATTTAGTTCTTGCTGACTTTTGCCTGGATATACAACTGTCAGTTAGACATTATCATTCCACGTGGAGATAAAAAAACCGCTCTGTACTAATCCAGTTATTAAGTGGATAATGTCTCTGGGTACCTTTATTGTATGTTGCGTCAGTAGATTACAGATAAGGAGCAAACGAAAGTACTATAACAGGAAACTCAAACTCTCACTCTGTCTGTTTTACCTGCAAACGCGCAAAGATGAAAACTCTTCTCCTCTCAGTGCTACTAGTGGCAAATATGCAGTTCTCCACTGCAGGTAAAGATATTTTAGCGTAATTAGGTTCCTACTTATACTGCCCCGTTTACAGATTTGTGTTCTTACAATTTTACACTTGCCGACTTGCCCAATTCCTTGATTTTGGAGGTGATCAATTTAATTGCTGGGAATATAATCAACGAAATTAGCAATTGTTCGTTGATAGGTTATGCCTCAAAAGACATAGAGTTTTGGTTGTATACCAGGAGCGGTCCTTCAGATGGCCTAAAAATGAGCAGTCTTGACACGGCAATGCTAAAAGGAAGAAAAACCATAGTATTAACGCACGGATTCCTTTGCAGTCGTAAGAATAACCTCATGCCCGAACTCAAAGATGCATATCTTAAAAGATACGATGCGAACGTGATAATTATCGATTGGTCTGCATATTCAAAGGATTACTATGCGAACGTCCATTGCAATGTACCGCGTATTGCACAAACCTTTGCAGAGTTTCTGTGTAAAGCCGACTCTGAGCAGAACATTGATATTGAAGACGTACACGTGGTGGGACACTCTATGGGAGGTCAAATGGCCGGTTTTATTGGAAAGCAAACTCAAGCTCAGTGTTCGAAGGTATTGGGTAGAATTAGCGGATTGGACCCGGCCGGTCCGCTATACTTCTTAAAACCAAGGTCTCGCCGGTTAACTAACACAGATGCAAAAGAAGTTATGGTAATACACACAAACAAGGGCGTATTGGGATATGATGGTAACTGTGGTACTGCCGACTATTATCCCAATTCTGGTGCTTCACAAGCAGGTTGTACCATATCAAATTCGCCCGCTACTGATTTTATTGGTATGGTTACATATCCTAGTAAGTGCGAATGGAAACGTAAGCTGTTTAGTCTACAGTTTTCATTTTAATTTTAGCTGCCTGCAACCATTTGCGTGCTGTTGACTATATGATCGAAAGTATTGGCACCAATAATTTCGTTGGCGAAAGTTGCTTTCTGTGCACTTCCTGTCTTTCAAACCCTTTTTTTGGAAGTAAGGGTGTTATGGGTGAAGACTTCACATACGAGGAGGAATCTTGTAGCTATTACATGCCCACTAATAGCCAATCGCCGTATGGAAAAGGCCCATAGGTGACCGGTGTTGCCATCATAACCTCGTATAAAGTTAAAATACACAATTTTAAAAGAGATTCACTTTTAATTAAATGATTTGTAAGCTTTTTCTTCGTAGTAGATACGGATTTTCAACTTTGGCTGTTACTTCTGTGTTACATAAGATAGGGCTTTATAACGACGGGTTCAAAGTTTCTCTACTTCGCTTCTTGGAGATATCAAACTACAGTTAAATATTTCCTCTGTTATTCCTTGAAATAATCCGTCATGTTTTCAAAAAAGGAAAGTACGGATAACATCATTTTGGGTATATAAAAACAATTTCGAAGCAAAAAGTATGCCATATCAACGTTAATATTACATAATCTCAGTAGTTTTAAAACGTTTAACTTTTATTAACGCCATCGTCACCAAGTGGGGCGCCTAGCAGGGTTCTATAATATTTTGCAGTTCTTCTATTATATCTGTCGATGGTCTCCTCGATTCGTTTCTATACTATATACTACTATATATACTATATACTATAATCGGATTCATGGCTCAGTGGTAGAGCATTGGGTTATGAATCCGAAGGTCGGGTGTTCGAACCTGGGTTGAGGTGAATTTTTCATCTGTGGCGGAGATGGAAATTACCTTAGACCAGCTACGAGCATTCTACCGGCTACTCCGAATTAGGTTTTCCTGCAGTTTTCCTAATTCGTAAGGTAAATACCGGAGTAGTATAGACCATCTTAAGACCTTATGCAGAGGCACCTCTAAATAGCATTATGCGGGTCACTCTGTAATTGGGCGCATGCCTGTTGAGGGCCCAAAACAAGAGAGGGATAATAATAATAATAATATACAACTCTCTATGAATGAAATATAAGCTTTGTTTATTGAATTGTTGAAATCGTTTAAAAAACAAGATCTGGTTCTCTTCCGTTTGTAGAATCTCCCAAATACCTACCATATGTTTAAAAGCGAGTTCATTTCTTTATTTTAGTTGGATGGTGGCACTAAAATCCTTTATACCAAATGATGTGCTATAGTAATATAAGTATGAATACAATGTTAAAAAACCAAGTGAGTTACCAGGGCTGTTCAAGTTTGGCCACCCACCCAAGATTATTGTTTATTGGGCTGCACTCATCCACCGGTAATTTGCGGTTGTATGACGTCATAAAGTTTGAATTTCTAGATTTTAATGATCTTGGGCTCATTGGAAAGATATAAAAATAAGCGATAAGAAAAATGCAAATCGCGTTTCGCGGACGGTTTTCGCGAAATTAATTTGCTAAAATTTGAAAAATTGACGAATTATTTTTTGTCTTTGAGACTAAAAGGTAAAATGTTAATAATATTCGTACCTTACAAAAAATATTTTTATAACCTGCTTCTTCCTCTTTTAAACCAATCCAGGAAAGATATCTAAACCCTTTTCGTATACCTGACTGACTGCCGGCTGCAGGAAAGCGATAGTCAAAATCCTATATTATTTGCCAAATCTGAGTTTAAACAAGAATTCTGACATTTGATTGGCTGCCTGCTGCAATATAAAGCCAATCAAAGGTCTTAATACCGGATTAAACAATAATCCTGGATTATTTTTTTTGTGCAACTGGCCGTGAAAGTCTCCGTTGTCCGCCATTAGAAAAAAATAGTTCTAATGTCCTTGATACATATGAAGCTTTCGTCAGCGATTTGAAAAATTTGAATGGAGCTGGCATATCTGTAGATGAAGAAGTGATTCCATTATCAGACGCAGAAGCCAATAATCTATTGGTTAATTAAGCCAATTAATGGCATCAGAAAGTTACGGCCTGGTAAACTAAAGAGCAAGTTGAAATCTGCAAAGAAAAATCTCACAGATCTTGCAGGTAATGACAATGAGTCAGCAACTCTGTCTACAACCGATGCTGATACACGTGCTAGTACCAGAAAAAGTGGCGCTTCCAGATTCTCTGATACATGTATGTTTTGTGGTAACCATGGAGAAGGACGAAAGGTTCTACATTCCTTTCAGACATTCGAATTAACCGAAGAGATACGGGCAAAAGCACTTGCCATGGATGAGTACAATGGACTTACTGCACTTGCTCTTGGAGATGTACCATACGCAGAGTTTTGTCATATTCAATAGTCGTTATGAAACGTCGGCATGGAAAACAAGTTATGAAAGCAACTCTACAGGTAGTAAAATTCTGGAGGAACTTCTTGGTATGATAGACGAAGATCTAGCTTCCGGGGGAAGATATTTCACTATGAAAGCTCTGTATGACGAAATGACAAGGAAGGTGGAATTTTACAACATTTCACCCATGAATAGAACCAGGCTTAAAAGCAAGATATTGGAAAGGTTTTTTCCTTTCCTGTAGTCTTCTTTAGCTTATCAAGACCAGAACAAGGATAACTGCCTTGTTTGCCTCTTAGGGGAGTATTCTCTTTTCGCTTCTGAAATGTACTAAAAACTAAGTGGTGACTATCCGGTTTACTGTTACTACATTTCCCTTCCCTTTCCCTTCAGTTTTGCTATAAGAACCCCATTATTTATCCCGACGCACCTCTACTTTGCCTGAGCCTGAGTTCCAAAGTAGCTGCCGAGTTGCTGTGGTTTTTCGGGAAAACCTGTGACTCTGCTCGCATCATACCATTCATTCACGCGCCTCCCACTGACCAAGGCCCAGTTCTAAACTACTTCCTTTATTCTGCTGCAAAAACCAAGGCCCATGCGCCATTGTACATGAAAGCAGGGGACATTGTCCAAAACTGCCCCCGTGCTGAATTGACCGGTGTGGAGGTACCATTAGGTGGCTTCCATCTATTATTTATATCCACCAAAATCTAGTAACTGATTGTGATTGAATATACAGGGAGGGTCAGACAAAATACATTTTTAATATCTTTAGTGGGACACTCTGTCCAAAACGAGTCTACTATAATAAGATTTCACGCAGTTCAGCCCATAATTAATTCGCTTACTTTCTCCCCTATCATTATAGACGCAATGCTTGGATCAGCTGAAACGATGTTTGGAATAACGCTAGAATCCGCCACTCTTAACCGCTTCATTCCGTGAACCCGAAGATCGTAATTAACAACGGCACCCGAACCACGTAGTCCCATTTTACACGTACCAACCATATGTCCAAGAGGTACAGCCAAATGTCTTATTTGACAGTACCAGTACTCCCTCGAATTGCGATCGTGTACACTACACTGAGGTACAGTGGCGTCAAACAGAACAGCGTTCATATTTTTAAACGCTGTGGTATTAGCAAGCTCGATAGCGGCTAGAATGCCCTGATACATTGTTTCTATGTCCTCTCCATTTTCATCGGAGAAAAATTTTGGATCAATCGCTGGGTATATGTAAGGAGATGTAGATTGAAGCTTGATTGTTCCTCGCGATTTTGGATGAAGAAGTACTACTCTAATCGTGAAGCTTCTCCTCGGATCTAGTTTCTCCCAGATAGCGCCGTAGGTCTCATCGTTATAATTGTACGCCCTTTGCTCAAAGCCGTTACTGTTGTTAGATGGAAGTAGTACAAGCTGAATGTCTGGCTGCTCGGAAGGATTTGACTGGTTTACTTTAATAAAAGCCAACCCTTGAGTGTTTCCACCGACAGTGTAACGCCCAAAGCCGTCCAAGTAATCTCTTACATTATCCTCTATAGGTACAATCGGTTCGGTGAAATCAGTTACAAAGTGTAAAGCTAAATAGGCAGGGTGATCCTGAAGGTTTTCTCCGACTGGCAGGTTTCTGACGGTACGCAGGTTATTTTTGGATCCAATACCTGACAACATGAGCAACTGCGCAGAACCGATCGCACCTGCTGCAAGTATGACTTCTCTCAAAGCCCTCGCCCTGTAAAAGCGACCGCCTCTGCTGTACCGCACCCCGGTCGCTTTCCAAAGAAAGGTTGTAATTTGTGTAACCAGACTACCGTTGTACACTTTCAAGTTGGTACGATTGAGCGTATCACTCAGGAAAGCCTTTGCGATACTCTGTCGCGTGCCATTGATTGTGTTCTTTTGCATACGTGAAACACCAAGCTGTTGCGCACCATTGTAGTCGACCTCCTCTCTCCCCAACTCGACGTTAGCTGCAATAAACGCGTCCAACTGGCGATTACACAGCTTTACGGGTTCAACGTTAAGCAGCCCCTCAGTATCATGGTAATCGTCATCGCCATCGGGAACTTTGAAGTTTTCCGACTTTTTAAACAATGGAAGAACGTCATCGTAGCACCACCCCGACAAGCCTTCTCCACACCAACTGTCATAGTCCGCCTTATTCCCCCGCTCATATGACAAATCGTTCAGTATGGAAGAACCCCCAATACCACGACCACTTGGAAGATTGCACTTTCCGTCGACCATACCTGAAAAATGTCTCTCAGTCGTCAATAGCAAAACCCTGGAAAATTACCAAGGCAGCTACTTGTTTGTTGTGTCGTCTGAAAATTCCAGTTATACTCGAGACCGCGCAAGTATTCGCTCATTCTCGGAATGTCAGAGAAATTCGACTCAAACCCTCCGGCTTCAAGTAGAAGTACGCTATTGCTCGGATTTTCAGAGAGTCTAGCTGCAATAACAGAACCTGCGTACCCAGCGCCCACCACAATGTAATCGTAGAAACCACCTGAAAGAAAATATTGCAGCCTATTCGTGGAAAATTACTAACCATGCCAAACTCTGGAATCGGTTTCGAACGTTGTGGAATCCGTTGGTAACTCAAATGTGAACGCCCTTGATACTTCACTGGAAATTAACTTTGTGTAGTAGTTCACGGTCAAATTATCTGCGGCACTTATCCAGTGGAAAAGTGTCACGCATAGTAACAATGGTGGAATTACCATTTCAGGCGATGTCAGTTTTAGTACTGGTACATCACGTTTCTAGTGTTGTGAGTTTATCTTAGATTACTTTAACCAAAAATGTTCTCGCGCAGGTAAATAATGAAACTGTGTCATGGAGCTTTGCCAATGAACGTGTCGCGCAAATTTATGACAACAGAGTTAAAATAATTTCTCTTTTAAACGTCAACAAAGTTAAGGTGACTCCCGATTGACTTGAGAGGTCGGAAAAATTAGAAACGTAAATCGTTCAGTCGACGTGTACTTACAAAAGGTCTGGTAGAGTTTTATTTTTTGAACTTGTTTAAATGGTAAAGAGAGAGAAAAAAACAAGTTTGCCAATGGAACTGACGTGACGTCGGGAAAAATTTCTGTGGTCAAAACTCAGCGAAAATGTTTCGCCTTTTTAGGTTTTTCTAAAATAACTCGCCAAGTTTCTTTAATTTGATACTTTATTTGATCTTCTAACATCAATTTAAAGTTTCTTGTTATTATCAATTTTTGATAGGAAACGAAAAGTACTTTTACACTCTACAATTTTGAATAAAACATAATTCTACCTAAGGAGTGCCGTTGGCGAATTATTTTAGAAAAACTTAAAATTTTTTGTATCTATAAATATAAAGGAAGGAGCTTGGTATTCGTAATTTATTATGTTAACTTTTAAAATTGAACAATTTCAGGTTTGTGTATAAATAATTTACTCTGTACAGGGTGGCCAAATTTGGTCATTAATTCATCATTCATAATTCATTTATTTGCAGTACATAGTACGGGGTAACATGATAGTTCAAAAAATTAACCTCATAGTCTCGGTATATTTTTTTAAAATAAACTCGATGTTTAAAACCAAACTGGTCTACAGTCTTTTGTTTTTGCGTTACGGGCAACATTTGCATTTTTCGATTTTTAGATAAAAGCATAATTTCTTTGTTTATTAAGTTATCGGAAATGTGTTTATTACAAATGATTGTAATCAGCATAATTTTTTATGGAACGCCCTGTATATTTTAATCTGAACAGACAGCTCTTCTCAAAACTATAGCACACCAGAGATGATATTAAAAAAAAAGATTCAAGTGCTTCAAAAAATTTCAAAAAAGGTTAAGTAAGATTGAAATCAGATTTTTAAAGATTAAAAACGGTTTAAATGATTCAAAAAATTACAGAAATTTTTTTAATTTCTTTAAAAACTTATTAATCTTTTTGAATTGGATTCATTTAAAAAATGAGTTCGATAAGTTTTTTACCTCACCCCGTATACTTATTTTAAAAACGGCAGATTACCCAACAAAGAAACTTTTGTAATAAAATCATTTGCGATAACTTAATAAAAAAAATTACTGTGTTCGAATGCGCGATTCTGTTCGATTTTCAGCTCTTCCTTTTATGTAAGAATGTGTGTATCAAATTTGGTTCCACTCGGTTCAGCCGTTTAGCCGGAAATGTAGAGTACAGACAGACAAACCGACATCGTCGAGATTTTGTTTAATTCGTATTCTTGGATGTGCTTTTAAACGTACGTACATTGCCGTAAAAAAATGTGGGGGGAGGGGGCATTTTTTGCCCATACCTGAAAAACAGTTTGGTATCGAGTTTATCTCAAAATGATGCTGATTTGGTCTTTTTATGTTTGGAAAAGGAAAAGACTAAAACCTTGGATTTTCAACTTAGTAGCGGCAAATTAACTTTTTAGCCTGGTCCTTTTGGCTTGCTGTCAAATTCTTGCATTGAAGGTGTGATTATTGCTTGAAACCTTTCTGGGCACTCTAAAGTGTCACCTCGCTTCACAAAACGCGCTACCGCAGCTACTAGGGTATACGTCCCAATTTCAGTGCCGTTCTTTAACTTGGTCTGGAAGGAGTTCAGCCGAACAGGCGTTAGGTATAAAGATTCTAAAAATTGTGAAGAATTGGGAAGAGTCTGAAAAATGGGAAAAAGCAAAGAATGGAAAGGATCTAAAACATCCAAGAAACCGGAGGAATCTGAAGAACCGGAAAAAGTGGAGTCTACAAATCCCACGACTCGAAGGAGGAGGAATCCAAAACAGAATATTTGAGAAGATAAAAAATTCAAAAGCATCTGAGTACTCAAATTCCAAGTGTCTGAAAACGAATCTTAAAAAGCATATGAAGCCGCCGAATTTAAATCACCAGAAGAATCCGAAGGGACCTCAGAATCCTAACAATCTTAAGAATCTGAACGGAAAAAATCGGGAACAATTGAAAAACCATATGAGATAAAAATTCTAAGAAACGCCACTATATGAGGAATCTTGTTAATCTGAAAAGTACGTAGATTTTGAAGAAAATCGCGAAATTAACAGAACCTGAAAATAAATCGGGAACGTTTAGGAATTGTAGAGAATGCGAGGAAATAGTTATTTATTTTACAAGACGACTAAGGGATGTTTTTAATCATCGAGTGAATTAACTTTCACGAGATGATGATTTGCCCTGGATTGTCGTTTATAAAAGAACTTTAATTTATAGCAGAAGGCATATAAATCAGTTTTAAACTTTTGAAAATCCTCAATTTAATTTAAACGTCAAAAATATAAAGTTTATAGGTTCTCCCGTTACATTATTGTTTTATGTTCTAAAGTTCATTTTATTTTGTGCTCTGCGTCCCATTTTTAATATAAATCATTTGTTTCACTTTATCTACCCTTACTTTTAAAGAGTGACTTAGCCTACCCCTTGAAATTTATTCAAATGTATGTCAATAAACATCTGCTATGAAATAAATAATTTTAGTAATGTGCAATATGTATCGGAACTGAAAAATCGATAGGATCAGGAGAATCGATGGGATTAATATTCTATAGGAAATCCAAACGTACTTTATTTATTAATATGTAATATAATAAACTATAAATTAAATAATTTTTTATTATACCTGAATCACAATCTCCGTTTTAAACACTCAAATGCGTGCGAAAAAGGGCCTTTAAAACACACGTGCTTTAAAGTTGCTAAGTAACGATACTTCAAGTATGACTTTTGAAACTGTCATCTGGATGAAATAAAAAATCCTCTTAGGTCGCTTTCTGTAAATGCAGAACATTTCTTTGGCTTTTGTACCTATCCTTTGGTTGAAGCTTTCACAAACGCGCGTAATTTAGGGTATGCTTCCAAATCTGTTCCACTTTTTAATCGCAGCATTGCTTTAAAGTTTTGAATGAATGCACCAAAATATAGAAGATTTAAATACCTTTGACATTTCCTTCATATATGCCAGCATTATGGATGCATTTAAGACTGTATTCGTAAGTAACTTCCTATTCATCCATGGAAACAACTTTTCATATTCTTTATAATAGGCTTTACTGGAGTTGGATTTTACACCTACCAACGTTTGTTTTGATTTTACAACAATCGATTTAATGGACGGTGTATTATCTTTTTCAACGGAAATCGTTTAATTCACAAAGACGATGATTTTTATAAGCAAACGTCAAGTGACATTTCCATGGCAATCGTGAAATTACGAACACCCAGCCCACTTAATTAGACATGTATTCGAGTATAACGTCAATATGATTTCATTGTATTTCCTATTTTTAAATTATACTGCAGGTATAATAAAAAATACTATAAGATACACGTGTATAATTGGTCTTTAAAGCACTTGCAACGTTAAAGGCACTCCGCTTTGCGTCGTGCCCTTAAACTCGTTGCGCGTGCTTTAAAGACTTGATTATACACTTGTATCTTAATATACTATATACAGTGCATTAAAATAGTTTCAATGAGTGGAACAAATCTAATGCTTCAAATTTAAATGTTGAGTCGATAAAGAAAAACTGTCTGATTCAAAGTCTACAAAATGTACAGTTTACGCGCTGAAAATTGTCATTGTTGACTTCACCAATGAAATATTTTGCAAACTAAACAATCTAATAAAAAAATCACTATTTAGAAAATTCATTATTGCAACCGTAAAAAAGCAAAATTTCCTGAAACAACAAAAGCAAAAATATTATATTCTTTATCAATGTGTTGCATTCGAATAGGGGGGTTAATGTGTGTACAGATGTTTAAATGGACCAAATCTAAAGTTTTTTTCAAATAAATCCCTTTTCTATTGTCTAACTTTTCTCACTACTCTTAGCAAAGAAATGGTCATGGAATTTTACGAGGAAAATTTTAAGATGCTGCTGGTGAAATTGGTAAATTACTGCCACTATACTTTCTTTCATCATAAAATGCCCTTTTCTACATACCTACACAGTAAATTTCTTAGATAAATCTGGCGCACACCACTAGTGTCCAAAATGGAAAAGGGTTTCTAATTTATTCAATCATTAACCCTTTGTAACATAAGTAGTGCTCATATAATTCTAATAAAGTATGGTAATGTCCATAATTTCCCTTTTAAATCAACCTAAATACTAAGAAGCGAGCATTTTAAATTAAGTTCTCCAATTTATCTCCAAATTCATATAAATTAAAGCTTTAAACTAATGTATATTCATTACGTAGGGGTGTTAAACAATAAATGGTTTCCCTATCGAAGGTGCTCAGGTCTTCATTATACATGACGGTGCGGTCTAGCCGATTAGAATGTCTCAAAAGGAGCGGCGTCGGAATAGAACAAAACTTATTGCGGGGGTTTTAATTTATATAAAAGCGTTTCTTATGTTACAGTTAACTAGGGGTTGTAAAATGAAGTTTTATTTCTACACTTAATTGTAGGACTAATGAGATATTTTATTTCTTTATTATACCTACCTACTTTAGGTGTTCATTAACCATTTTAGTTTATTGAGAAAATTTTAAGATGATTGATCTGGTTAAGTCGTCGACTCTGTCCGAAAGTGTGTATAATTATGCCATTTTTGAAATAAAAGGATTATCAAAACGTTTAGCAATTTCGTTTATTAGTACTGGCTATTGAATTGCAATCTTTAGTTCTAAAAACAAGTAGGACGGTTTTGAGCACTTCGGCTCTCTTCTAAAGTTTTCAATCCAAATGGTTAAAATTCATACATGATTTTGTCAACATGTACAGTTCACTTCACATCAACTTCACGAATAAAGCTACTAAATGATTTTATTTTATAGCATATGTTAAAATGACATTTTAATAGATAAAATCATCCCTTTAACCGGGTAGATAAGGTGAAACAGATGAGTGTGCATTCTAATGACATCTATCATTCTTATTTCAAATCCGCGATATAAAATGACGTCCAGAATATGACAATTCTGTTTTTATAGAAACGATCGCAACGGCAGAATCTAAGCTTGCTATTTTTGACGTCTCTAAATTAAACTCAGAATTGTTAGAAGCTTTACAATGATTTGTATGGCTTCTGCTATAAAATAAAGTTTTGTATTATACACGACGATAAAGGGAAACTAACCAAAATATCCCTTTATCGTCTTGTATAATAAATAACTATGCTTTAACCACATCTACTTTTCTCAAGTAAACTTTTCCATATTGGTTTTAATTTAGATTATACTTTAGATAACAAGATTACATTGTGTAGTTAACAAGTTAACAACAAGAAAATTGTTTAAAATTATCAACAAGGCTGAAGCAAAGCGACTTTATTCACATCTTCAAAAATGAAGATTTTATACACAGATAAATGTTAAAGGTCGTTTTGACTAATAGTACCTACACACCGTAATATTCGGAACCTTTTCCATACGGTGATTTTGCATTAGTATCCATATAATAACTACACCCTGCTTCGGCGTAAGTGAAATGTTCGCCCATAACGCCCCTAGTTCCGGTAAAAGGATTTGCAAGGCAGCTACTGCACCAAAAACAGCTTTTACCATAAAAACTATCGGAATTTATACTTTCGATCATGTAGTCCACTGCTCGTAAGTGACTGCAAACAGCTACAAACCGAATTGATAAGTTACGTTATCCCTGTCATCTCCTTTACTTACCAGGGTATGCCAGTTTGTCAAAAACACTGCTGGAAGGTGAGTTGAAAACTGAACAGCCCTCTTGGAAGATGCCGAAGTTGGGATAATAGTCGGCAGTGCCGCAGTTACCAGCATACCCCAACAAACCCTGGTTTGTGTGAGATACCATTACCTCTTTCGCATCGGAAGCGTCCAATCGACGAGATTTTGATTTTAAGGAGTACAGTGGACCGGCTGGATCCAAACCGCTGATTCTTCCCAGTAACTTGGAACATTGAGCTTGAGTTTCTTGTCCAGTAAGACCTGCCAATTGGCCACCCATTGAATGCCCCACCACGTGCAAGTTCTCAATGTCGATGTTCTGCTCGGAGTCGGCTTTGCATAGAAATTTGGCTGTTGTTTCCGCAATTCGTGGGACGTTGCAGAAAACTTTCGCATAGACATCCATAGAATATGCCGACCAATCGATCGCAATTACGTTCGCATCATATTTTTTAAGGTACGCGTCTTTAAGTTCGGGTATCAGATTGTTTTTGTGACTGCAAAGAAATCCGTGCATTAAAACAATGGTTTTCTTTCCTTTCAGAATCGACGTATCCCCAGCCCCACTGTTAACTTTAACTCCGTCTGGAGTACCACCTCTTGTGTATAACCAAAAATCAATCTTTTCGCCCGCGTATTCTATCGAAGAACAGTTAGTGATCTCGTATATCAGGCTGTTCGCAATTATACTCCAGATGTCTCCAGTGACCCCATTAGGCAAGTCGTCGAGGGTAAAGTTGTAGGAACACAAATCTGTAAATGTAAGGTTTAGCCATAAACTTTTTGTAAAGTTGCTCACCGGCAACAGAAAGATTCACAGAAAAACAGAGCAAAATTGATACCAAAAGGGCTTTCATTCTGATTCTCTTCTGAAATAGTCACCGAAAACTGGCGAGTCATTTTACAACGATCTTCAATTTAAACCGTGAATGGTTTCCTATCAGTAAGGGGATCGTCTTGTTTTTCATGATTAACAAAAACGCAATCTGATAAAAACCTCTTAACAAGACTGATAGGTAATTTACGACACAGGTGTATCTACTGTAATATATGAGTTATCACTCCACAAGTGTATCTATCAAACCTTTTGTCAAGGTCATAACAACGTCCCCTTCTTTAAAATATGCCTTATTTCTTATTCTATACACGCCTAATTTCAAAATTAGGTATGCATTTTACTGCCTACATTTTACCATAAAGGTTGATTTAGAGTAAAACTGGACTTGCAATCATTAATCAAGTTCCCAATCATTTTGAAGCGAGTTTTGAAGTATACGATCTATCCTTAAATCTATTTAAATTAGTATTTTCTCCTACTTCAGGTAAATCCTGTGTAGTGTTGTCATAGTATTGCCTTTGTAAATATAGTCTGCCCTTAAAACGCATGTAATTCCACCAGAATCTTCCAAGAAATGTTAGATCCTTGTTTTGAGTATTTTCCTTAAATGATCGATTTTTAAGATTTTAAAGGCATAATGTATTGGTGTACAGAAATATTTACACGAAGAATATATATTACGTAACCCTACAGATATCTACAATGCGAAGGTGCGCGGGGATGGTACCTACCCCAACTGCTGAACGCGGAAGGTCTAGGGAAATGAGCGCTGACGGTCGAAGAATCCCGAAACTCCCAGCCTCATGAGCTTTCGAAGAGATACTAGGCTTTGCCCAACCCAAGTGGTTTTTTGCTGATCGGCGTGTTTCATTCCTCCGACACTCCGAGGGATAACGGAGGCGGGTTGCTCAGAGTTTCCTGACCCTCTTCAGCCGAATAGTAGTCGGCAACGCTCGAATCGCGGTTTCTCTTTCTCGTGTCGCCAATAGAAGCTCTATGAGTAGTACCCAAAAATGGAGTACTATTTTGTGCCGGGTTTTTAGCGTCAGAGGTGGATACCGACAAAGGGAATATGGTAGCCTTCGACAAGATCGTATTGATGGTGGAGTCAATACTGGCTAAAAAACACTGATCTGCCGATTTGCATGAAAATTTGGGATGAAGTTCAACTTACTCTCCACTTCAAAATCTATATTATGCTTATGGACGCTCTTCACTGTTTAGGGGTGAAAACTACCCATCTTTGTCAAAACCCATAATATTACATATTAAAGCTTAATGTGAGTAAAATGTGGTTCAGATGAGTTGAGTAATGATTGTTAGAGGCTTTGAAACATTATTTCAGAATACTTCAATCCTTTAAAACCAACCATTATTGTGGTTTAATTAAAAAAAGTATTTACTCTCAAAAATTTAATAATCCAGGTATTATTGACGACAGTTTTTCAGTGTGCATTACGAACAAAGTATGGTGTTTACCCTCCTGATAGATGGTGTATCAAAAGGTTCTATTTTGTTTCTATAATTAAAATTTAAATTTTTAAGGTAGTGATATCCTTTTTGAATCGCCCTGTATATATATTACATGGTGTATAGGTGTATGGAATGGATGTAAGTCCGTATGAAAGTTTCTAATGTGTAGTATACGAAATATATACCGGTCATGTAGATAATCCTGCTCCGCTTTGTGCTTTCAGAATTTTTCGAACAAAATTGTGACTCGTTTTTTAATAATAACTCATTTATTAGCGCATTTTTGCAAATTTATTTGTAAAAAGTAGCTTTTAACCTCACTTTGGCTGGCTGGCTGGCTGGCTGGCCGGCAGCAAATGTGGGCGCGTAGATGAACTCTTGTAGAAAGGCAACGGGTGTACGTGTATCTACAAGGCCGTGTAATTTGTCAACCTTAGGGACAGGGCTACATGATGTGGGGTTGGCGACATCTGGGCATCATCCTCGAGCGTAGTTTACTAACGTGAAGGTTTTTCAGTTTTTTCCTATCTTCTGCTACAGTTTTGGTCCGATTCTTTTCAAATTGGTGTCGTCGAAGCGATGTTGTAAACGCGCACAACTCTAGCGCGGCGGAATTATGTTTTTTGTCCTAGAGGCGAAATTAACGATCTTTTGCAAGGCGCGCGCGCGTCTTCTAGAGGTAGTCATGTTTTTGCCTCTTTAATATAGCGATGGTTATCGACATCTTGATTTAACTCGTTACCTAATCGTTAGTAGTTCTTTATGAGGAATGGAATGTTTATAACACTTTGGTATAAATTTAACAATATAGTCTCTTAATAATAAAATGCGGTTAACACCAGCATGACCTTCGATTCAGTCGTATGCATTAGTTTGGGATCTAGTTAGTGCGAATATATTTTTTTTAATTTCCTGAGATCTGATGATTCAAGTTAAGAGTCAGATGTTGAGTTTTCGGCACCCTTAACGTAATTAATCGTGAATTGGTAGTCTTCAAGTATAAGTCTAAACTTTGTTAATCTGTCTGAAGGATTGTTTGTGCCAAATAAATATAAATCAAAGGACGGTGGTCGGTGAAAATGTGAAATTTGCGACTAAATAAATAAGGCCTGAAATGCTTTGCACTCCAAACAATGGGTAGAAGCTCCTTACCTATTGTTGAGTAATTGATTTACACTTGGTTCAATGCTCTGCTGGCGTAAGCAACGGGTTTATGATTACCATTACGTAAAATTGCACCTACCGTATATCCACTAGAGTCGATTCTTAAAAATAAATTCATTTCTCGGAGAAAAATCTGGAAATTCTAAAATTGGGAGACCATTAATTTTTTCTTTAAATTATCAAATGCTGTCTTGTAAGATTGGTCCCAAATAAATTTAGTAGATTTCCTGGTTAATAGATTTACTTTGGAATAAATTTACGATAATAGTTATCGAAAGCAACAAATCGTTTAAGTTTCGTTTGCATTTTTTGGTACGGGATAATTTTGAATAGCTTCCAATTTACTAGGATCAGGAGAACCCCTAGGTGTAATCAAGTGACCGATTTCCTTTCTTAAAAATTCACATTTTAATGGATTTAATTTCAAAATAACATCCCTGAATCGTTGCAAGATTTTAATTAAATTTCGATTATGATTTTCTAAACTGATTCCAAATACTATCACGTTATTGAGATAAACGAAACACGATTCACAGTTTAAACCTGTTTAAACTAGATAGTGCAATTGTCATTATACGTGAAAATACGCTGGGACTAATTTTTTTCCCCATAGGCAACCCCTTCACTTGAAATTGACCTTTGGCTGAAGTGAAGGTAGTAAATTTTCTACTAGATGGTTCTAACTCCACCTGATAAAATCCCTGTGATAAATCTAAGTGCGTATAAAATATTTTGCGGAACCAAGCGATATCTGTTATATAAATTTGTCGTCCTCAATTTGTTTGTTTAGTTGGCGGGCTATCCGGCTATAGTTTATTAACTATATTCGCCATTGGTTGTTACCTGCGACACCAGAATTTTTTGGAACAATTAATAAGGGCGAAGACCGCTCGGATTTACTTTCCTCTATTATTCCATCTTTTACTTGATTATTCACTTCTGATTTTTGAGCGGTATTCGGTACGGTTTGACGTAAACAGGACGAGGTATAGGTAGGTTAGTTACCATAACTTGAAAGTTTTCTAAGAGAAACACATTGGCATATTATTTTGCACAAATTCCATATTTAAATTTTTAAAATTTGTATCTGATAATTTATCCACCTGATCTACACAAATTTCTTACCTTCAAAATTAAGTAGGTAAATCGATTTTCGATAATTTCATTACTGCCTAATTTGTACTTCTTCATCGCTCGTGTTTAATATTCGTACAGGTATAATACGATTATCGATGGGTTTTACTATAATTCCGGCTGTAAAAAGACCTTTTGAAAACTCATTTGGCAATACGACACATTCGTCAGATTCCTCTATTTGAAAATATTTTATAATTTCGCACCGTGGTGGTATGCATGTTATTGTTTTATATTTAGATTCTAAAGAAGATGTGAATGATTCAGTTTTACTAGAGAGAGATACTGTGAAACACTCGCAATCAATTACGGCGTTATATTTTGTGAAGAAATCTAATCCTAAAATGCCATGAAAATCTTGTGTGAAACTGTCAATGATATAAAATTCCTGGTTGAATTTAAAATTTTCTAACCGAAGTGGGATATCAACGAACCCAATTGACTTTATATACATAGATCCATGAAATCCCATTAATCCTTACTTTTGTCGACCTGTACATTTTCATTTTGACTTAAGGTCTCTGGAAAAATTACACTAATAGATGCGCCTGTACAAGTAAAAATAATAAACTTTTGTTTTCGTATTGAAATCATAAACAATTTAATCCATTGATATTTAATATACAATCACCGCAGATTTCCTCATTAGGAACGAAAACATTTTTCTGCATTATTGAAATTACCTGTGTTTGAAGTGTTGGAATTATTTGCTGAGCATGCATTGACCTAACGGTTGTTCGTATTTCTAGGGGGCATGAACCTTGGCAAGGGTGTGTAATATTGCAACTACCTCTATAGGATTTAAAAAATTGGCAAAGTGCATTTTCCTAGTTGCCTTTATTGACATATCCGCGTGCCATTGTTTCAACGTAATTGCACTTTTCTTTCAAACACAGCTTAGGTCAGAAATAGATGGAGCGACAGTCTCACAGAGATGCTTGTGTTTTACAACATATCCCAATTCAAGAGCACTCCCAGTTAAAAAATAGTTTTAAGAACAGCGGGATGGACGGATAAAGTGTAGTTTCGCTATGTGGGATAATGGGTCAAAAATGAATTTCCGTAGTTTATTCGAAGTAAGTCAACTAAAAAAAAACAGAAATTATAGCAAAGCAGGTAGTTTATTGTACAAGGCACTTAGAGAGTTTTCAGATTTATATCGGACCCTGTGCATATGGCGCTTCTTTGTTGATGTACATATAATAAGCGCAAGAATCTTTCTCGAACGTTACGTCCTCACCCATGACCGCCTTACTTCCACCCATAGGATTGGCAATGCAACCGGTGCACATCAGACAGCTTTTGGCATTAAACCTATTGGAACTTAAACTTTCGATCATATAGTCTACAGCTCGCAAATGACTACACGCAGCTAAAAATCGAACAAATTGTAACCTCTTGGCCATGTATAGGTACATTTAATAACGTACCAGGATAAAGTAGTGCATTTAGCGGATTGCTACTAGGTGAATCAAAAATAGAACATCCCGACTGAATAGCTCCAAAATCGGGATAAAAGTCGACAGTACCACAATTTCCAACATAGCCCAGTATTCCCATATTTGTGTGGATCACCATGACGAGTTTAGCATCAGACGCATCCAATCGGGAATCAGCGCCCCTTAAAGTGTACAGTGGACCAGCTGGATCCAATGCGCTAATTCTTCCCAGTATCTTTGAGCACTGGGCTTTAGTTTCTTGTCCAATTAAACCTGCCAGTTGACCACCCATCGAATGTCCCACCATGTGCAGGTCTCGAATTTCGATGTTGTGCTCATAATCAGCTTTGCATAAAAATTGCGCAACAGTTTGAGCAATTCGTGGTAAGTTACAGTACACGTTAGCGTAGTAATCCTTTGAGTATGCCGACCAATCGATCGCGATTACGTTTGCGTCGTACCGCTTCAGGTACGCGTCCTTCAGTTCCGGCATGAGATTGTTGTTGTGACTGCAAAGGAACCCGTGCGATGTTAGAATTGTTTTTCTGCCTTTCAATATTGACGTATCAATGTCTCGTACATTTCGACCGGTCGGTGGACCATCTCTAGTATACAACCACATATCTACCTTTGACCCATCATAAGATATCTCCGAGCACTCATTAAATTCATTCAACAGGTTCCCAGCAAGCAGACTCGCCACCTCCCCGACAATCGAATTTGGTAGATCGTCCAGAGTGAAATTATAAGAGCACAAAGCTGAAAAAGAAGCGACGTGACTAACAAGAAAGTGAAGCAATGGGTTTACCTCCTGTGGAATAATGGATAAAACTGCATAGTAGCGCTGAAACGAAAAGAATCGCCATTTTTACTGGTTCAAGCCTTCAAGGGCTACTCACGCGTGATTTTGAATTACTCCTTTATGTAGACATTCTAATCAACAAGCGGGCCCAATATCAAGATGTAATCTAAAAAAAACATTATATGCAATCAGATAATTTTAATTAAGCATTACCTGGATTGTATTGTTCCGAAACAATGGTGTTTATCAAGGGAAATTGGTATACCTACACTTGGTAAGATAGGGCCGCCGAAATATGGTGATAGCTAGGTATAACCTTCCATGTGCATTGTGTTGTGTATGTCGGCTAAATATACCCTACTTGCAGTTAAAAAACTGGAATTATCTCTTCTAATTCTCAACCGAATAGTTGTAGCCTAAAGGGCTTCATTTTTACACGAGTCAAGATAGTTCAAATTTTCGGTAAACCTAGACAAAAGTAATATAAAGCTAATTTTTGGTACAGATCATAATTTAGGGCTAAATAGTTATACAGGGTGGTGACTTGCGTCACGCATCATAGGGATTTCAATGTAAAATTCATAACATGCGATTATTGGCTCCCCAAATTATTTTAGAGCAAAAATGTATTAAGGTTTTTTGTAGAAAAAATTTTTTTACGTCAATAAACCCTATTAGTTTTCAATTTTTTACATAATAAAGACGGAAAATTGGAAAAATAAAACCCGCATCTTTTTCAATAATCTGCGATGCCATGGAATTTTCTAAAACAAAAAGATATCCAGTTATCAATTAGCAGCAGTTCGAAATGGATTTTTTTCACTACTAGCGTCTGATGACATGATTATTAACCTTTTTTCCACTTGTAAAGTAGGCTTTCTCGGCATTTGTTCAAAGTGGTTAATATTTTTTTATGATTAACTAGTAGTCAATAATGAGAACTGTCACGCTGTCACTTTTAGAAAACACAACCCGAAATTTCGCTCAATGAACGTTTAGACATGTTCTCTAA